AACAGTAGATCTAGCCCTATACCTAACTGAAATAAGAAACAGTAGATCTAGCCCTATACCTAACTGAAATAAGAAACAGTAGATCTAGCCCTATACCTAAGTGAAATAAGAAACAGTAGATCTAGCTCTATACCTAAGTGAAATAAGAAACAGTAGATCTAGCCCTATACCTAAGTGAAATAAGAAACAGTAAATCTAGCCCCATACCTAAGTGAAATAAGAAACAGTAGATCTAGCCCTATACCTAACTGAAATAAGAAACAGTAGATCTAGCCCTATACCTAAGTGAAATAAGAAACAGTAGATCTAGCCCTATACCTAACTGAAATAAGAAACAGTAGATCTAGCCCTATACCTAACTGAAATAAGAAACAGTAGATCTAGCCCTATACCTAACTGAAATAAGAAACAGTAGATCCAGCTCTATACCTAAGTGAAATAAGAAACAGTAGATCTAGCCCTATACCTAAGTGAAATAAGAAACAGTAAATCTAGCCCCATACCTAAGTGAAATAAGAAACAGTAGATCTAGCCCTATACCTAAGTGAAATAAGAAACAGTAGATCTAGCCCTATACCTAAGTGAAATAAGAAACAGTAGATCTAGCTCTATACCTAAGTGAAATAAGAAACAGTAGATCTAGCCCTATACCTAACTGAAATAAGAAAATAGGACAGGCAAAAACTGCATTTTATAAAATGAAGAATACCTTGTGCAATATATCCTTGTCATTGAGAATTAGAAAAAGAATTCTTGCTTGCTACATACATCCAGTTTTAACATATGGCTGTGAATCCTGGACAATTGGTAGGCAGGCCAAACAATTTCTTGAGGCCTCAGAGATGTAGTTTTACAGAAGAATGCTTAGAATACCTTGGACAGCCAAAAAGAGCAACCAAGAGGTTATGAAAGAGGCGGGAGCCCGAAGACAACTTATCACAGACAGAAGGAGACAGTCATCATTTTATCATTTTTCGGCCATGTTATGAGAAGAGGGAAAATAGAACATGTTGTGACCACTGGAAAGATCTGTGGAAGGAGGGATAGAGGAAAACAACGAGAGAAGATTCTTGACAGTCTTGTTGCATGGCATGAAGGTGTGTTGGCACACGAACTGATTCATGCTGCAGGAGATCGTGGATTATGGAAAGGCATGATCGCCCACGCCAGTTGGCAAGGCACCTGATGATGATGATGATGATGATGATGAGCCCTATACCTAGTGTCTTTTACTTTACTTTTAACTAACTGTCAAAGACGCAAAGATGGAAGCTTACAGAGATCTAACAGGTCAAGTGAGCTGATTCACAAAGTACTGTAAAAGATATTTGTGCCAAACAACCCCTCCCCCCCCCCCTCAACACACACACACAAACACACACAGGCATGCACACACAAACACACACACATTATACATGCACATACACAATAAAACAATAATGGCAATGATATAAGAAAATATGACTTAATAAAAAATGTAATTTATATGACTTTGATTTTTTTTGGGGTCCCTTATTTTGTTAAGCATAATAATAAAAATAATATATTAATTTCCTTTACAAAATGCCAAAACATGTGTCATTATGACAGTTAATGCTAATTATCCTCATATTACAAGGGTTTACATTAGTTTCAACAATGATTTATCATAAATCAAATAATGTCATGTGCTGTTACATAACACCTGCTTTAACAACTTTTAAACTATTTAGTTTGTTTCCTTTTTATGATAATTTCCAAACCATTTCTAATATCAGCTGAGATAGCTTTCTTTGGGGTGTGGTATAAGGGCTATCTGCCCAAGTAGTCACATATAGCTTTCTTTGAGGGGTAGTATAAGGGCTATCTGCCCAAGTAGTCACATATAGCTTCCTTTGAGGTGTAGTTTAGGGCTATTTGCCCAAGTAGTCACATATAGATTCCTTTGAGGGGTAGTTTAGGGCTATCTGCCCAAGTAGTCACATATAGCTTCATTTGAGGGGTGGTATAAGGGCTATCTGCCCAAGTAGTCACATATAGCTTCATTTGAGGGGTGGTATAAGGGCTATCTGCCCAAGTAGTCACATATAGCTTTCTTTGAGGGGTAGTATAAGGGCTATCTGCCCAAGTAGTCACATATAGCTTCCTTTGAGGGGTGGTATAAGGGCTATCCGCCCAAGTAGTCACATATAGCTTTCTTTGAGGGGTAGTATAAGGGCTATCTGCCCAAGTAGTCACATATAGCTTCCTTTGAGGGGTGGTATAAGGGCTATCTGCCCAAGTAGTCACATATAGCTTCCTTTGAGGGGTAGTTTAGGGCTATCTGCCCAAGTAGTCACATATAGCTTCATTTGAGGGGTGGTATAAGGGCTATCTGCCCAAGTAGTCACATATAGCTTCCTTTGAGGGGTAGTTTAGGGCTATCTGCCCAAGTAGTCACATATAGCTTCATTTGAGGGGTGGTATAAGGGCTATCTGCCCAAGTAGTCACAAATAGCTTCCTTTGAGGGGTAGTATAAGGGCTATCTGCCCAAGTAGTCACACATAGCTTCCTTTGAGGGGTAGTATAAGGGCTATCTGCCCAAGTAGTCACATATAGCTTTCTTTGGGGTGTGGTATAAGGGCTATCTGCCCAAGTAGTCACAAATAGCTTCATTTGGGGTGTGGTATAAGGGCTATCTGCCCAAGTAGTCACATATAGCTTCCTTTGAGGGGTAGTATAAGGGCTATCTGCCCAAGTAGTCACAAATAGCTTTCTTTGGGGTGTGGTATAAGGGCTATCTGCCCAAGTAGTCACATATAGCTTTCTTTGGGGTGTGGTATAAGGGCTATCTGCCCAAGTAGTCACATATAGCTTTCTTTGGGGTGTGGTATAAGGGCTATCTGCCCAAGTAGTCACATATAGCTTTCTTTGGGGTGTGGTATAAGGGCTATCCGCCCAAGTAGTCACATATAGCTTTCTTTGGGGTGTGGTATAAGGGCTATCTGCCCAAGTAGTCACATATAACTTTCTTTGGGGTGTGGTATAAGGGCTATCTGCCCAAGTAGTCACATATAGCTTCCTTTGAGGGGTGGTATAAGGGCTATCAGCCCAAGTAGTCACATAAAGCTTTCTTTGGGGTGTGGTATAAGGGCTATCCGCCCAAGTAGTCACATATAGCTTCCTTTGAGGGGTGGTATAAGGGTTATCTGCCTAAGTAGTCACATATAGCTTCCTTTGAGGGGTGGTATAATGGTTATCTGCCCAAGTAGTCACATATAGCTTCCTTTGAGGGGTAGTTTAGGGCTATCTGCCCAAGTAGTCACATATAGCTTCCTTTGAGGGGTGGTATAAGGGCTATTTGCCCAAGTAGTCACATATAGCTTCCTTTGAGGGGTAGTATAAGGGCTATCTGCCCAAGTAGTCACATATAGCTTCCTTTGATGGGTGGTATAAGGGCTATTTGCCCAAGTAGTCACATATAGCTTCCTTTGAGGGGTGGTATAAGGGCTATCTGCCCAAGTAGTCACATATAGCTTCCTTTGAGGGGTGGTATAAGGGCTATCTGCCCAAGTAGTCACATATAGCTTTCTTTGGGGTGTGGTATAAGGGCTATCTGCCCAAGTAGTCACAAATTAGTGGTGTCTCTGTGGTGTTTGCCTCATGCTTTTAAGGTCATGGGTTCAGTTCACAAATGTGCAGGTCAGTTAAATAAAAAGTGCAGTTTTTAATGACGATTACTGGGGACTGTTGCTGGAGCCACAGAGTTTGAGCTTTGTATGATGCTCCTCTCATCAGGGGGCTAGCCATTCTGCAGAGAGAAAGACTGAGCCATAGGCGATTAAACCTAGTGCAATGGAGTGGATCCTCTAGACCTTTAATACAGTGAAGAGGCTGTAGCTACTTTTACAACTGTTGAGCCTACCAAGAACTAAACACACATTCCAAGATATATAAGACAGACATTAATATATCACACCAACCTTGCTCCTTAAACATTTTTCTTCTGTTTTCACCCGAAGATGTAAATGTGTTGTGCCCGTTTACAACATGACTGCAATTTTTGCACCGATCGGGTGATTCAACTTCTTCTTATTCTTTGCGTTCATCCGAAGATGTGAATGGGTGGTGCCCGTTTACAACATGGCTGCAATATCTTCACCGTTAGAGTGACTCAACTTCTTCTTATTCTTCGCATTCATTGGCTGTAAACTTCAAGGGAAAGTTCTGGCTGCTCGTCCACTTCTAGGCTCTAGTCCTGCTCCAGAATCTGAGTGTTGCGTGCATATCCGCTTTACAGATCTGACTCATATGTTGCTGTTTCCTTACCTCTCAAGCAGATGCACTCTGACTTCGAAAGAAGCTTCCAACTAGTCGACTCTTACAACATTGGGACTATCCTTGTTTTCCCCACAATGGGTCCAGGAACCCTTATCAGGACTTAACTGACAAGGACGGTGCTTTCTTTATTATTAACCAAACAAGCGAATGCTGAATAAAAGTGATCAAACCCAGATGGAATTAATTATAAATGCAAAGTTACCCTGGTAAGTGACGTGACTGTTGTGAACTTCCGGCGATTAGACGAACAATTTATCGTGAGAGACCAGTTTTATTTCAGTGGAATTTATCAAGTTTTTGTGCTCCATTATAAGGTGATGTAACTGTAGCAACGCAACTGAAGAGACACCACAAAATAGACCTGGCAATAAACTGCAATGTACTGTTTGTGTCCTCACTTTTTTTCCTTACTTTTTACATGGTAAGCTAATGAAAGAATCACACAATGTTGGGCTGTTTGGCACTTGAATAATTCAGACTTAAAAAGTTAGTTGCGTATCCTTTATAAGACATTGCAGAACCAACCCCAGCATTTTTTGTCTGTTGTGATTTTTCTAGGCCAAATTTTACGTTCAGTAGTTTGCCAATGCTTCTGAAAGATCAGCACTCAGTACCACTGTCAAAACCAACACAAAACAAACAGTCCGCAGCTGGGATCGAACTTGGCATTATAAAGTGCGTTTGCAACGCCTAAGGGAACGGACTTACTTATTGTTTTTGGTTTAACTGGTCCCATGTTTGAACGATCTTTGCTGTTAACTGAGAGGGCGTCTGGAATTACAATCAGACTTGATGGACGTGACCTGGCTTTCGATTTATCAGGAGTGGACTTGATGCATGAAAAAGAGAAAAAAAGAAAGACAATTTAATGACACTAAATAACACAAAAAAGAGAGGGTTATAGAAATCTTGAAGGGGGTCTGAATGTAATGTTTCCTGCCAGGTGGAACATGTAATTATTGTATGCCACATCTGTTTGAGTCTAATGATCTATATAATTTCAACTCCTAATCAGCTTCTTTGCCACCATTCTAAAGTATTCAAGGTCTCCATCCTTTTTAAAGCTGCTGAGTCTTCCCTGTTTGTTATCTATTAGCTCCTCTTGTCTCATATGGGCAGGTATGAGATGTGTGTGTAGGCATGCGAATTTGAGTGGTTGTATGCATGTAAGTACATATGCATGCATGTATGTGTGTAGGCACATGCATATGTATGCTGCAACAACAGGTAGTAACTTAATGAATGACAAGCTAGATGCAGTCAAGACCTTTTGGAAGCATGTGAACAATGCAAACTGCTGCTGGTACAATTGAAAGTGGAACACTTTGCTGGCTGCTGAAGATGAGGCTGAAGCACATGATAATGTCTGAAGTACTGTCATGTCAGTTCTTCACTCAACTCAGTCATCATAGAATATTCAGCACTAGTATGGAACCTGAAGCTTTCCTGATTATTCCAAATGATTCTGACTCAGTTGAAACCATTTCCATAGTTATCAGTTTCATCATGAAATTTTTCCTTCCAAGTTGGAATGCAGCTACTGCCTGAGAGGTGAGGAACCTACAGTCGACACACAAGTCAGATCTGCAAAACTAAAGTCTAGAAGTGGACGAAAGACCAGAACTTTCTGCTAAAATTTACAGCTGGTGAACTTACAGAAGAAGAAGAAGAAGAAAAAGAAGAAGAAGATGAAGACGAAGTAACACAAACAAAAAAGAAGAAGAAAAAGAGGAAGAAAAAAATACTTTTTTTAAATTCCATATATTCTACTTTCATTGGTAAACATAAACTTGTTTCATAAGTGCCATTCTTCATCTACCCCCTTTCTCTTCAGCCCATTATTGTGACCTACAGTAATACCATTGGTGTATTTTACGTCTCAGGCTGTATTGGAAACAAAACAAGATTATAATATTTCTCAGTTTTCTCCCAAAAATATTCTTTATTGTTACTTACATCTAAGTCATCATCACTGTATTCCGCATCAAAGTATCGCTCATCCTGTGTAAAACAGATAAACACACAATGTGACTAGGTTTATAAATTATACATTGTTTGTGATGAGAAGGAGAAAATTAGAGCATATCATGACAAAAGGAAAGTTGGAGGGGAGGAGAGGCAGAGGGAGACCAAGAGAACAGATGGTGGACAGTCTGACATCATAGCATGGAGGAACATCTATATAAGAGTTGACTGAAAGACCATGAGACAGAAAGCTGCGGATAGACATGACTACCAACGCCACACTGCTTGGACTTTAAGAAGAAGATGGGTTATACACAATCTGTGTACTGCTGAAAGTGCTTGTGTCTGAATTTCTCTTGAAAAGGGCTTGCCTGAATTTCCTGTTGAAAATTGCTTGTGTCTGAATTTCTCTAGAAGAGTGCAGTTTCTGAATTTCTCTTGAAAAGGGCTTGTCTAAATTTCTGTTGAAAAGTGCTTTATCCTCATACTTACCTACCACCCTCACAACATCTGTGCTAAAAATATTCTCCTTAAGCATCTCTCCATCCTTGGGGCTGACCCTGCCACCAAGCCCAATTTTCTCTGAACTTCCTTTACTGGCCTAGAGAAATGACCGTAACCTCAAGGACATTTTAGTCAAGAGTCGGTTACAGCCTGCGTCAGAGTCCCACTTCGGCACTGTCTCATGCCACAGACCTGTATGCAGAACTTGTCCATATGTGGTTCCGGGAACAAGTCTGGAATTCCTGAATGCCACCTTCCACATACGTGAAGCCTTCTACTGCACTAGCGGCAATGTCATTTATGCCATCAGCTGCAAGAGATGTGGCATGAAATACATCAGTGAAATGGGTCTAAGGCTGGCTGACAGGTTCAGACATCTTTTGAATGTGCAGAATGATGCCTTGAAACCAGTACCATTGCACTTCAATTGCCAGGATTACTAAGGTGTCCACAACATGGAAGAGACAGCCATCGAATCTAGCCACTCCAGCGACAAAGTACGCAAGTCTCTTGAAAAACGCTTTATTTTCACTTTCGGCACATTACCTAGAGGACCGAACTACCCACAAAGTTTCAACTAAAATCCTAGGGGATTGAACTGGCCACACAGTATTATCGTCCAGTTACAGCCCCTGGCATTCCCCAGGGGTATTTATTCTCCTGTCCCACGTGTTTAGTCAGTCTACTGGCAAGACATCTACCTGGCTGCTTAGAGATACTAAGCTAAGTGATTTTCTGTATTTATGTGGTATTGTTTGACTTATGTATGTGCTGATGAAGGCTCCATAGCCATAACGTTCACGTTTTGTTTGTGTATGTTATATTGTTAAGCTTGCTGATACACTTTCCATTTAGATTTATTTCTTTACATGGATTTTTACACATGTACAATAGCAAATCACACACAGTACACTCATTTTTAGACAGGAATAACAGACAATCATACAAGGCACATTGAGTTTTACACGTGAAGAACAGACAATCATATGTGACATACTGATTTTTACTCACGATTAACAGACAATCACATATGAAATACTGATTTTTACACATGATGAAAAGAAAATCACACATGGCGCATTGATGTTTACACATGAAGAATGGACAACCATTCATGGTTTTAACACACGTAGAACAGACAATTAAACATAGCACATTGATTTTCACATGTGAAGAAGACAATTACATATAGCACATTGGTTTTAACACATGAAGAACAGACAATCAAACATTATGTTATCATTCAATTTTGAATTTGGAACAACAGTGAAACAAAATAGAAAATAAGAAACTTACAGTGTACAGATCCCAGTCAATGTTGATGTGAATAAAGAGATCTTTCTTTCCAGTGAGAGCTGCAGTCAGCTAAGTAATATATATATCTTGTTAGCCATTCACATATACTAGGTAAATTCACTATAACATGTGTGGGTGACCAGCTCCCTTTCTTCACCATTTTCATCCTCTATATATACACAAGGTAAATTCACTATAACATGTGTGGGTACCCGACTCCCTTTCTTCACCATTTTCATCCTCTATATATATATATATATACACAAGGTAAATTCACTATAACATGTGTGGGTGACCAGCTAGCTCCCTTTCTTCACCATTTTCATCCTCTATATATACACAAGGTAAATTCAAAATAAGTTGGGTGAACAGCCCCCTTTCTCCCAGTTTTCATCCGTTATATATACAAAAGGTAAATTAAAAATAGGTTGGGTGAACAGCCCCCTTTCTTCACCATTTTCATCCTCTATATATACACAAGGTAAATTCACTATAACATGTGTGGGTGACCAGCCCCCTTTCTTCACCATTTTCATCCTCTATATATACACACAAGGTAAATACAAAATAAGTTGGGTGACCAGCTCCCTTTCTTCACCATTTTCATCCTCTATATATACACAAGGTAAATTCATTATAACATGTGTGGGTGACCAGCCCCCTTTCTCTCAGTTTTCATCTGTTGAGTAATTCTGAACATTACACGGTACCTATCTTTCTGAACCACACAGTTAACAGTCAGGTTAATAACCTTCAATAAACAGGCACCCATTGAAAATGACAGAAATAGAGATAATTAGTGTGAGCGATCACACACTGTGAGGACCACATGGTTAATCTAAGGCTTCCATGGTGAGATATACAGTAACAAGTGACAATGCGGCTTGTGTATTTTATTTAAAAGGGTTTATATTTTGTGCTTTATTACATAATGATGTAGACTAAATTAATGTGTGTGTGTGTGCGCCACACAGAGCATTGCAGTCTATTTCTTAATTCCATTAGGTCCTGTGTAATATTTTTTCGGGAAGCTGCGTGGTCTTGAGGCATGGTGTCTGCCTCAAGTGCTGGAGATCTTATGGATTACTACCCTTGTGCCATGATGTTAATCTGTCATCTACACCTAAACCTAATCTAAACTTGTGGAATATTTTCAGTCTCATGGAAACTCCAGCACAAGTGACCTCTATGAACTATTTTCCACTCAGGGTTTCTCTTCCGTCTGAGGATTTTTCTGTCTGATTCTCCACAAGATGTGCCCTACATATCGCCCCCTTCTTTGTCTTATATGCTTATGCCAGAACAGTCAGAAACATCTTCTTCTTCTTCATCATTCCAAGCCCTTGAGGTTCATTGCTGCTGATACTACCTGCCTTAATTTATCTCTATAGCTGGCTTTCTCTTTCCAGCTGGTGACACCAAGTGTTTGTAGGTTTGTCTGAATATTATCTTTCCATCGTCTTCTTGGTCTGCCTCACAGTCTACAACCATTCAACTTCCTTGATAACAGTTTTACCTCTCTGTCACCTGACATTCTCTCAATATGCCCCAGCCATTTCAGTCTATTAGCCCTCATGATGCCAGTGATCAGTGGCGATTTAAACAGATTATGAATTTTTTTGTTTCTTCTCACTCTCCATTTCCTGCTGTTTGCATCTTTGATCAGTCAGAAATTTCTCCATAAGACTCTTGTTTTCCAGTGAGAAATGCCATGCAATAACAGTGTAATACAATGTTTGCCTCCTGATTATTGAAACAATAAAAGGAAATAAGAATACTTACAAGATCAATACAAACATCAAATTTGTTCATCCTAGCAACATCTAAAGGTGTCTTTCCTGCCCTATTTTCCACTTTTGCCAGATCCGGCCGTGTGCGCAACAGAAGCTTCATGCACTCTGTTCGGTTCAGCTGTGCGCACAGATGCAAAGCCGTATCTCCAGCTTTGGTTTTCTTGTCCAAACTGCCTCTGTGTGAAAAGTGAAACAATATTAAAATATAGTCGAATGTTCTCCACAAGAAAGTTTTCATCCAATCAAAATAAAGGGTCCATTTAAAAATGCTGGTCACAAAAATTCAGAGAAGAACTAGGACAACAAAAGGAGCAAAAAAACATATGAAGAGAAGAACATTACTGGGAATTAAAGCAATCTACATAATAATGGCATTAACCATGTAGTGCTAACTGGTTTCTTCTTCTTTGCATTCAGTGGCTGTTAACTTCAGTGTAAAGTTCTTGTTGTTTGTTCATTTCTGGACTTTGGTCTTGTTCTTGAGCTTTGTGTGCACCCCCGTTTTACAGATATGGCTACTTTGTTTGCAGACTGCTGATTCCTCACTTCCACAGTTTACAACACAAACCACATTGGGCACAGTCAAAAAGCACACCCCCCTACTACACCCCCCTACTACACCCCCCCCCCCACCCCCAGCAGTTATAGAAGGAAACATAATTGTGACATTCAAAATCCTTGTAATTAATAATTAAAATAAATAATAATAATATAATAATAATTAATTATAAAATAATAAAACAATTAATAAAATCAATTAATAATTATTATCAATTAATCATCAGTGAAACTGTTCAGTTTGCACATAAGAATACCTTAAATTCCAATCAATCGACAATTTTTTTTTGCATCTGGGTCATCAATAGTTTTTAGGCGCACAGGCCTTTCCATCAACTAATAAAAACGTGCCATCAGATAACTATATGTTCCTTTTATTTGTATTTGTTTACATGCTTATAAAGACTTTTACTAAATTATAATTATCTATGAATTACATAAGTAAGTTAAGTAAAGGACCCTTTCCCACACATTAAAGTGTATTTGGCTAGAGCTATATTTTATAGACCAATCAGCACTTGGTATGTGATGTGATCAACCTCACCCTGGTCACCTTAACTTCCCAGGACTTTTACCTGAAACCATTTAAGGCTGGGTTGACTTGGGAGCCAAGATAACTTTTGTTTAACAAATTTAGGTTTTAAATTACATGTGTATAAATCTACTAGTTTGCAAAGACTGTGCCACCAAAGTATAATATCTATAAGTGAATAATACACAAGCTATACTAACTCTTTCAGTCCCAAGGAACGCATCATTCCTTCATTTTTTTAACGTATCCAGAAACCATGAGTTGTAAACCCTTTGGCTGGGTACTATGGATATCGCAACCCTTCGGCCTTGATTCCAGGATAGGTAGCGTTAATCTGGGAGAAATGTGGCTTTTCTGCCTACCCGCGGGAGTGAACCCGGACCACAAGGAGTTCGTCACCCGGCCGCCGCGAAAGGCAGGTTTAACCAACTTCGCTAGACAGCCGTTCATAGGTTCCTACCTAGAAGCCCAATCAACGCAAGATGCGCAGGTTTTGCACCTCTCTTGACTACCCGTTGGGCCTCTGATGCTAAACCCCCCTACGACTCAAAGAGTTAACACTTACATCGCTGTATTTTGTATTAGAAAGTCCACCAAAGGCAGAGAGGTTCCATCATCTTCCAGTATAGCCAGGTGCAGTGCTGTTTCTCCATTTTCCTAAACACAAAAGATCAATGAATTATCTGTGAATGCACCTTTACACCAGAGGCTATAATAACTGTAAATGTACACCTTAGCACAGTGTTTCCCAAACTTGTCTTGGTCGTGGCGCCTTTTTTCAATTAAAGTTTTTCCACGGCGCCCTAACCCAAGTAAAAGTATGACTATTCGTGTCTTGGTTAAATTAATTATGAAGCTTTTACAATTAAAGTTTGTCCACGGGGCCCTAACCTAAGTAATAGTATGACTATTCGTGTCTTGGTTAAATTAATTATGAAGCTTTTACAATATTTCGCAGCGCCCTTGTGAAAAGGTCGCGGCTTCCTGGGGTGCCACGGCGCACATTTTGGGAATCCCTGCCTCAGCAAATTAGCGAGAAATTATGCAGAACCTGGAGTGATGTTGCTGTTTCATGTAAAAATACCCAGGCCCTTTGCGTGTGGATTTCAGTGACCCATTGTGGAGGTTGAAAAGAACAGACCCACAGCACGTCGTAAGAGGTAACTAATTAGGGATGTTTCCTTCAAAGTTGGAGTGCCATCTGCCTGCAAGGTAAGGAACCAACAGTCTGCATACAGATAGGTCAGATCTGTAAAACAGATGTGCATGCAAAACTTAAATTCTGGAACAAGACCAAAGTTTAGAACAACCAGAACTTTCCACCAGAGTTTACAGCCAGTGAATGCTAAGAATACGAAGAAGAAGAAGAAGAAGAAGAAGAAGAAGAAGAAGAAGAAGAAGAAGAAGAAGAAGAAGAAGAAGAAGAAGAAGATGAAGAACAAACAAAATTTATTTTTCAATGGGTCACAAAGTGGGCATGAAGGCCAGTCTTTCGGTCCTTCTAATCACTCATCTTTCACACAGAAATTGTATTTGATAAATAAAGCATATTATGTTCATAAAATAATATGTATAATATGAATTTGAAGGGGGGAAAAAAGCTAGGATGGTAAATGCACGTGCACACGCACACATGCCCACTTACACATACATACACACATACAAGAAGAAGAAAAAAAATTAGATGAAACCCAAATCCTGGAACAAGACGAAAGTCCATAAGTGGACAAACAACCACGACTTTTCATCACAGTTCACAGCCAGTGAATGCAAAGAAGAAGAAGACGAAGAAGAAGGAGGAGGAGGAGAAGAAGAAGGAGGAGGAGGAGAGCTGCACAATAATAAACCTAGAGGCATGGAAATAGCACCTTACTTACCATATCAGGAAGAGGAGTGGACAAATCTAACCCTTCAGCATACACCTGTAGGAGGGCCATCAATTCCTTGGACTCAGTCGCCTGCTTCAAGTCCTGCTTGAGTTCCTCTCTGTCGCTACATGTAATTATTGCAAATTTATGCTGCTCATATTTAGATTTGATGAAGTCTCTTCGCTCATTCCTGTAAAATATGTTAATCTGACTGTTATACACTTAAACCATGATATAGGGACAGGTTTGGAGCAGTCGCTAACAAGCTTACTTATATACATCTGAATTTCCTCAAGAAAGACAAGGAAAAACTGCACTTCTAGGTTCATCCAGCATATATAATATGTACTAGGAATTTAATGCGAAGTAAAGGCAGATAGTATGATACTGACCATACCACCCATCAAGTACCAACTAGTCTATAAAAATGTGGGGCTAAAATCATGTGCACAAAACTGCTTAAGGTTTGGATTAGATCCTTTACTTACTTACTTAAGTCTTTCAGTCCCAGACTCGTGTTAATTTAATCTGTTATAACCTAATAGGCTGTTACTTTAACTAATAACTTGACTCTTTCAGTCCCAGACTCGTGTTAATTTAATCTGTTATAACCTAATAGGCTGTTACTTTAACTAATAACTTGACTCTTTCAGTCCCAGACTCGTGTTAATTTAATCTGCTATAACCTAATAGGCTGTTACTTTAAATAATAATAATAAATGTTTAGATTTCGAGAAATTTAAAAAAAAAAGGAAAAAAAAACACACTGTGAAACAGAACAAATTAAAGTAACAACAGAGGGAAGAGTGAGTGGGTGTAAGAAGTGGATCTGAGTTGAGTTGAGTCTGAGTTGATTCAAGAACCAACATCACAGCACTCAGGGCATTCCCATAAGCGCTCCGTCCCCATCTTAAGCAGGGAGTGAAGAGTTCCGATACTAATGGTGCCAGTAGCATTCTGATTAAACGTCCGTCTAGCCTTTCCTCTAAGCCTCGAGCATCTGCCAGAACCTCTCGTCACTCCCCAGTGCATCAATCTCACCAGACTGTGGTGATCCATCTGCTCCTCTGAACTGCACATGCTCTCCCATAAGGCTGAGTTAGAACTGTGAAGCAAGATTCTGGTGCTGTTGCTTTGACCACAAGTAGTCTGACTATGGAGGTCATGGCAGTGACCAAAGCAATAACATGGCTGGAGACACAAACCTTTTCCTGTGCATGTTTTCTCACTGACTCAATGAGTATGCTCAGGAAGATAGAGAAAGGCTGGATCGGAAAACAGTGGGTGGAGTCTCTAAAGAGGTCCGGGCTGTCACATATTAGCTTCATATTTGTGCCATAATCTCCTGTTAGTTCATTTAGGGTTGATATTTGTCATTATTCGTAGTGCGCCACGAATAAGTGTGGTAGGGTCTTCCATGAGGATCCGTGAAACCATTACAGGGTCCGCTTCACTACCTTGGCTCCAAGGTACATGATGCTAGATCCATATTTTCATACCCCTGTTGCTATTCAGTGGGAGATCTGGTCAAGATCACCCTGACCCCCCACAGTAAACAATGAATTAATGAATCCTGACAATGCCTTTGGTAAGCCTAGGACCAGCGCGTCATGTGTCCACTCTGCCTTTATAGAAGCCTCCCACTGCCTTCCCTTAAGGGCTGACCAGTCTGGCTGACCTGGATGGGTTCCCCAAGGGCAACACCTGTAGATAAGGGGAACAAGGAGAACACTACACAGATAAGGCTACGTCATGTTCCACGAAACTATCTGGGAAGTTAACCTGGTCAACAAATGCTTGATTAATGCTATCGCAGCTTTGCTGTATATAGGCACAACACAATCATATCACTCGGAAGAGCGAAAGAAGAAGAATTAAAAATTAATCAAGAACTGATATCACAACACTTGGGACAGTCTCACACGTGCACCATCTCCTTCCTTAGCTGCCAATGAAGAATCGATATGCTAAAAGTACAGATGCAACCTGATTAAAAGTCTATATTTTCCCCTCAGTTTTGTATATCTTCCATACACTCAAATCACACCCACTGAACTAGTCTTTCAATGTGTGGATTCTCTGTTCTATTGCACTGTCCCTCTGATCCCAGACAGCCTTCACCACATCCACATATCATAAAGAAGCTCACCACCCTAAGGGGCACCAGCAGCCAATTTATTAGGCTACTCATTTCTCAAGTCAATAAATTCAAATATCTGGGAACAATCATATTACCAGATGGAAAATGTGTGACAGAGATTAAAAGCAGAACAGGTCAAGCGAAATCTGCATTTCTGAAAATGAAAAATATCTTATGCAATAAATTGCTCTCATTTAGTGTTAGAAAGAGGGTGCTAAAATGTTACATAGAACCTGCTCTGCAGTATGGCAGCGAATTTTGGAATGTCAGTGAACAAATGAGGAAGAATTTGGAAGCAACAGAGACGTGGTTTCTAGGACGAATGTTATGAATACCCTCAGTTTAACTAACAACGATTGCTTCAAAGAAGCTAATGAAAGTAGATCTCGATATACAACAATAAGAAAGAGACAAACACTGTTCTTTGGCCAAATAATGAGAAGAGAGACATTGGAGAACGTCGACTGGAAAGATCAGTGGGAAAAGAAGCAGAGGCAGACCAAGAGAGATGATGTTGGATGGGCTGAAACGATGGCATGGAGGGATATCATCAAGAGAGCTGTTCCAGGCAACAAGGAATCTTGATCTGTGAAGATGCATGAGCGCCTACGACAGTTGGCAGGGCACATGATGATGATGACTCATTTCCCTGCACATCTAAATATCCTGAACAAAAAATCCATGATATGCCCCTGAAACACAGATCATGCATGTACTCACATTTGACTTGAAGGTTTTGGCTTGACCGGATCGTTAGTGTCTAGTTTGGCTTCCATGATGTCATTAAATGCAGCATTACCGACAACCCGTGCCAGCTGAAATAATGTATTATGAACAAATATAGTGATTATAGTAAGATTATAGTGATGGGCCAAAGGGTGAAAGCCCATGCCCTGCTGGATCGATAACAACAAGATTATAGGGGTGACATGAGTCAGATTATGGTGATTATGAATAAAATGGTGGTGACATGAGTGAATATAATAAAAATTAAACAGGCATCTGAGTTTAAATATCTTGGAACAACATTTACTGAAGATGGTAAATTGGATGAAGAAATAAACATCCGATGCAGCAAAGCAGGCCAAGTATTGGGACAGCTTTAGGCAATCCCAATTAGCACAAGGAGACATCTCATACAAAGCATATTCATTCCCATCCTATGCTACCAGTGCCAGACGGGGTCACTCACAGCAAAACATAAAAGAAAATTATTAACCATAAAAGCGAGGGGTCTAAGAAAGACTGTAGGAGAGACCAGAAGAGATAAAATCAGGAATGAGGTCATTTGAGATAAAAGTCGGCACAGAACCAATTCTAAATTACATACAAAGACAGCAAATCAAATGGTTTGCCCACTTAGATAGAATGCCTTCTGATGCTATACCATACAAGGCATTTTCAAAAGAGAAGAGGGATGTAGAGCAAGAGTTATACGAAGAACAAGATAGGAAGATAACTCCAGAGAAACTCTACAGCGCCATGATATGTCTATGCTCGAAGCAGCCAGAAAAGCATAAAGCAAGGCCTTATATCTCCCTCCACATCCGAAGCGGTAAAAGAGGACATAAAGAAGAAGAAAGAAACATGAGTGAGATTACAGTGTTGATTATGAGTAAGATTACAGTGGTGGCAGGGTGAGATTATAGTGTTGATTAAAAGAAAAATACAGTGGTGGCATGGGTAAGATAACATGAGTGATATGAATGAGATTATACAAGGGATTTACGGTAAGATTTTGGTTTTTACTATGAGTAAGAAATCATCAATTCAAAGACTGACTTAAACATTAATGCACCAAAAAGAAAAATAAGTTTTTAAAAGAAAAACAAAAAAATCGACTCTTTTGATAAGAGTGGTGTATCAAGCAGGCATATGGTGCCAGACCAATATATTTATACAAAAACTGGCACTAACAACACAAGAAGGGATTATAAATGCCAGCATTAAAGAGAAAACTGGAATAAAACCATGTCTGGATTATACTGACAAAGAATGAAATGGTTCAGCCATCTAATGAGATAAGAATAAACTCACAGGGAGCAAGTACAGCGGGGATCTACAGTCATCAGTAGAAATTATCCTCTTTCGACACACGTTTCGGCCCACGATTCCTAAACGTATTCGGAGGTGGGCCCACCTGAGTTCATGAAGCTCAGGGCTGCTTCCCCGCTGCACAGAATTACCGGATGGTGTTATTATTTCGGCCAGAGACAAGACGACTTAGTGGTTTCGAAGGAGGTACTGTGAGATAAGAAGCCGCCACGGCAGCGTAATTAGAACAGTCCGCATGCCTGGACGACCGAGCGACAAGCTTACTTTGGTTTACCGGACACATGTTGGACTTTTATTAGCAGTTGACAGAGGGACACTGGCAGACAATTCGTACACGGACTTTCAAAGGGATGAGAAACTCCTTTCCGCTAGACACCCGGACCAGCTCACCGAGGCCCGTCCCCTACGTTGTTGCGCTGCGTCCATAGCCAGCTAGAGGCCCTTTCGGCTGCCTCTCCCAGTTTTTTGAGTGTTCGTTTCCGTTCATTACCGCGCAATCCTAGTTCTTTTACCACATTGTAGAGCGAAGTGGAAACGAGGCCTCTCGCTCCCACTTCGACGGCAAAAACCCGTACTGTGTAGGCCTCGTTTCTCCTCAAACCGGCTGCTAAATCACTGTATTTCTCGAGCTTATACAAATGATTCTCCTCCATACGTGACTCAAACGGGACCGTCAACTCAATCAGGATGAGTTGCCGTTTTTGCGCAGAATGGAGAACGATGTCCGGTCGCAGGCCGGTTTTACGGATCAACTCGGGATACCGTTCATGGCCTGGCAGATCAACCGCCAGTAACCAGTCCCTCGCAGAGTCTAGTACAGATGAAGCGAATGCGTTTTTGTTGACCTTACCAATTGGAACCTGCCCAGCCTTGAGGAAACGAATGGGGGCGATACTAGAACTGGCTCTGGCGTTAGCCCTCATTCTAGCCTGGTCGACAACGGCTGCTAACTCCTTTAGCACCTTGTTGTGGTGCCAGGTATATCGGCCTTGACCTAGGGCTTTCCTGCACGCGGACAGGACGTGCTCAAGAGTTTGCTTTGATTTGCACAACGGGCAAGTCGGATCGTTGGTCGCAGACCATTTAACCATATTAACACCGGACGGTAATACATCGTACGCCGAACGAACGATAAAGCTCAGTCGCAGCGGGGTCATCCGCCAGATCTCACCCCATGTGAGAACTCTTGGCAATGCGCTCTCCAGGCTGACCCAATGGCCCTGCTGCGACTGTTGGGCTGCTTTCTGGACCCGAACCTCGTTTTCGTTGTCCCTCACCGTTTGTATCACCATGTCTCGGCGTTCTTTGGCTGAGGCCTTTGACCACCAATTGACCTTCCCGTGCCCCAGGCCTCGACGGTCGGTTTGTGTGTAACCCATAATCTCCTTCAATTTTAGTGCGTTCTGAGCAGATTCAATCGCATCGAGGACTCTCCACTTGGTTCCAGTCTTTAGAGCGGGCTGGACAGCGGTGACATTTGGGTCTGAAGACTCGCGCAGAAGCATGGCGAGTCTTACCTTGCCGACTTTAAACTCTTCTGTTATCGACTTGAACGGAAGTACCAGCTTAGCCTGTTTGCAATACAGAGCCACGTCGGTCAGACAAGGCGGTGCTCCAATCCACTTTCTTAAGGCTGTGTTGATTTTTTTCTCCATGGCTTCAACTGCAGTCATCGTCACCTCGTAGACTAACAGTGGCCATAGAAGCTTCGGAATCAACATGAATTGGAGACACCATACCTTGAATTTTCCGATCAGCCTGCATCGCTCGATCGCGAGCAGGCCTGTAGCCAGTGACTCATGTATTCGCCGGACTTCCGCTCTGTCAGATAACTTCGAATCGTAGACGCGACCGAGGCTCTTCACCGGTTCCTCCAGAACCGTAGGGATCTTGTTCCTTGCCACCGTAAAACTGATTGCCGAAACCTTGCCCTTATGGATTGACAGACTCCTCGACTTCTGCGGTTTAAACTGCATACCGCTCCATTGGACCACCGCGTCCAATCTTTCCAGGATCGTGCGGGCAGACTCCTCGCTGCCCGTTATAATAGTCGTGTCATCCATAAATGCGCGCAGTGGCGGCAACCAGTGATCCCCTATTTGAAGGCCCAGTCCGTAGCCGGCCGCCCCGTCTAACATGATCTGCATTGCCATGACAAACAGTATAGGTGAGATCGTACAGCCCATAGCTATCCCAATCTGCAACTCAGTCCACCCCGTGGTAAACGTCGAGGTAGAGAAGCGCAAAGCGAACTTGGAGAAATATTGCACGACCATTTGACTGATCTGTGTCGGTACGTGAAACATGCGAAGGGCTCGCCACAGTAGCCTATGGGGGACTGCCCCGTAGGCGTTGGCTAAGTCCAACCAAATCAGTTCTCTCATGCTTGGCTCTCTGGATAGCCTCCCAAATCATGGTCGCGTGTTCAAGGCACCCAGGAACGCCTGGAATGCCACCCTTCTGAACACTCGTATCTATGTACTTGTTAGTCATCAGATACTGTGTGAGCCGGCGAGCCATGACTGAGAAGAATATCTTACCCTCGACATTCAACAGCGAGATGGGCCTGAATTGGGAAAGACTCTTCGAGTCCTGCTCTTTGGGAATGTAGACCCCATTTGCCTTTGACCACTCTGGACATATGTGATTGCGGATCCACGCTTGTCTCAACAAGACGTGAAGCATTTTAAGGATTTTCGGGCAACGCTTGTAAAGAACGTACGGAACACCGTTCGGACCTGGGGCAGACTTGCCGCTGGCCTTTTTCACAACGTCCTCAACCTCAGACCAAAGGGAAGGTACCAGTTTAAATGGTACCTTCGGCACCGAAGGCTGTTTGAGTCCGCTAAGGATCTCTGGATTGTCATCGAGAGGCTCTCTCCTCTTTTTATCCGAGTACATCTTGCGTTGATGTAGCTCTAGTTCTTCCTGACTGACAACCAGAGTCCCAGACTTCGGTTGCTCGAATAGACCTCGGGCAAACTGATACGGGTCCCTAAAGAATTTCTCTCGCTCCCTTTTGGTTCTCCGTCTGTTGTTACAGAAACGCTCGGCACGACAGAGGGCACTGTGTTTGTTCTTTAAATGCAACCAAACTTCATACAGCCCCTCCCGTTCGCTGCCTGTAGCGGCTTTGAACCGTTTTCTGAGGGCATTCTTGTCTGCTCGACACTTTAGAATGTCCCTCTGCCTCCTGCTAGTATTCTGCTTGGCACCCGGCTGTGCCTTTACTACTGTCCCGAACTCGCGGGAGCAGTGTTCATATATTACATCACCAAATTTAGTAAGCTTGTCGCCTAGCGACTTCTTGTTTAGATTTTGTTTAAGTATCTCACATAATGTAGCCTCCAGCTTACACCACACCACCTTCTCGCTCGCAGGTGGAAACCTGATTCTGGAACGCACTTCTTCAGAAATCATCAAAGGTGCTCCTCCGCAGTCGACGTCATGGGCCTCTCCGGGCGAGTGGGGTTCACCCTGCCCGTCGTACCCTGACGACTCAGAAACTACCACAGGAGTGGTAGTTTTGCGACGGCGTTTACTGCGTGGAGCACCCTCGCATTTCATTCTTCCGGCATGCGTTCTCAGACCATGCAACCCCGTGAAGCTTTTTCCACATGTACAGAGCCAGCCCGGACGTTGGCGAGTAACTCAGTCCGGGGGCTAGCAAAGTCGTCAACGAGGGTATCAATCAGATTGGGCCCTTCATTCTCCCCCCCTTTCGGAGGGCCCTGGGGGCATATTTCATTGTGGTCGTACGAAATCGGAGGTATTATACTGTGTTAGGGGTGATCAACCCGGTCCACAGTCGACATCTGTCTCCAGATGTCAGTTTATCCCCCCGGCGATACCGGGGGGCCAGTCTTTCAATAGGTGTCAAAAGGACTTTCAAGATAGTCACCAGTCTTTCCTGGTAGTCTTGTGGGCTAGCCACGTACAATAAGAATAAACTCACAGGGAGCAAGTACAGCGGGGATCTACAGTCATCAGTAGAAATTATCCTCTTTCGACACACGTTTCGGCCCACGATTCCTAAACGTATTCGGAGGTGGGCCCACCTGAGTTCATGAAGCTCAGGGCTGCTTCCCCGCTGCACAGAATTACCGGATGGTAATGAGAATGTATCCAGACCAGACTGCATGAGACTTTTTTTTAACAGCAGAACATTCTAGGAGAAAGGCGAGAGCAAGACCAAGAAAGAGACGGATAAGGGGTGCAGATGAATCCTGCAAAAAGGTTAACAAATCCACACCCTAAGAAGGGCAAGACAAGCACAGAAAAGCTACGACACTGGGCTACAGCCTGGTATTAGTGAGATGAAAACAAAAAAGAAGAAAGAACTAGCACTCCATTCTAACATAATCATAATACTGAAAGTATACTATACTAACAACCAATACAGTACATTTACTTACCAACAGCTGAGAAGTGCCAAGTTCATCAATGACAGTGCTCTGTGTCCGTGATATATGCACACCCAGCTCTCGGTGTATGCCACAACATTCCAGACATATCATCACTCCAAGGTTTACTGACAGCCATTCAGGCTCTGAAATATGTCAACATCAATATTATCATTAACGATCAATCATTTTCACACCTTTATTATTATTAAATACAAAAAAAGATTTTGTGAGGGCCCATTGGGAGCGAGTGAACACTGCAGAGGCAAAGACAGATCATCATGGTCTGAGGAGAATGGCGCTGCGAGGAGTTACCAGGAGACCACGCTGATGCTCGACACTCAGGGGAAAGGCGAGACGGATATACAATCACAGTTACTGGTACCGTTGGAATTTTAACTCTTTGCTTGCTACTGAAGATGGGGGGACAGAGCGCTTATGGGGGTGTCCCGAGTGCTGTGATGTCGATTCTTAATTCAACATTCAACATTCACACCTTTAGATATCTTTTTTTTGGCGATCCTTTAGTCAGAAAACTCATTTAAGGGGGCCAGTAGCCTTGATGAAAGTCACTGTGCAGTCCAAATTCTGTGTAACGCACAGCTTTGTCTGCAGTGAGGTTTGAAAAGGCCAGATTGCTTCTCTGTAAGCTATATACAGTTTACTATTGGAGCAAATGCTCATCATATCCTGGTGCCAAGTTGCAGGAACACATCTCTGTGTTTCCTACACCGAAAAAATGGTAACATATGCTGACGACATCTGTTGTGCCCTGTCCTTAATATGAATATGATACACTGTCCTTCTCTAGAGTGGCGGTGAAGTTAGAGATTCTTGGGGAGACCATTTGATGTGAATATCCATCCATCATTCTTGGATACCAGTTATTATGAGTATCAACATAATAGATTTTGGATGGATTTAGTCACTCTTTAATTGCATCTTGTCACTGCTGCTTCTGGCCAGTCTGTCCACTATTTCTTTGCCTCCCAAGTCAGTTCTCTGGAGTTAACTGCAGCACAGACTGTTCTAGTGAACAGCCAAAGTGAATCAACTGTTGCCCCAAGTCTATGATCTGTGTGTCTTTTGAAGCAGATAGTGCTGGTGCCCTATTTTTATAGACCAACTGGAACTCAATGTTTGATGTTGTCAAAATCATGCAAGTCACCTTTACTTTCCAATACATCTCCCAGTACTCATGTTAGGCTGAAAGTCAAGGTCATTTTATAGAAATCGGCCTCCAAGGTAATTCAAACCCAAGACTTAAGGAGTGGCAGTCAGGTGTTTGGCAACTGCGCTACCGCAGCTCAGTATTACCATAAACTTCCGTATATAGTATGGATTTCTAGTGAGAGGTCAGAAGAGTGGTTGGGGTTTTATTTCAAGGTGAATGGAAAACAGAGAGCCCCGCATACAGGATCACTACATCCAGTTTGAAAATGGAGGTGGAGGCAGTACCGGCAGTTGACTTGAGAGCAGCACAGCCTGACATGTTGCAATTGTAACAGACTCACAGCAAACGCTTCGGAAAATTGAAACTGGCAACATACGTGCAATTTGGCTTGCATCATTTGGTAAGACTTAGATCAGGATCAGATCATAGATTTTCCGCTCTTGATATTTAGGTGTGTGAGCTAACAAGCAGGCTGACAGATTAGCTGCTGTTGCTCCTTTAAGTTGTGAGCTACTTTATGATAGATCAGATGTGATGAATGCTCGCTGGGCTATACACAGAAAGACTAATTCAACAGGGGTGAATAGTTCAGGAAGATTTTCAACACTGAAGGGAAACATAGGCAGATTTTTAACACCAGTAGCACACATATATCTTCGTGTAGGGAGTCAGCAGTCTGAAACCCAAGTTCAAGGTGTCTCCTTCGTGCCAAAGAACTGCATGGCTGTTGGGTGAACAGTCGTTAACGAAGGCAGTCAGGTTGTTGTAGGGGCGACGCTTGCTGGTGGATGCAATGTCCTAAATCCCTTGCCCAGCTAATAGTAGGGTACTGCTGGGGTGACAGTTTATTAACCCTCACATAATGCTTCAGGTCCAAAAAAAAACACTAGACACCGCCACTGTTTTGCTTCTGCCAGACTGTGGCCGTTGCTTTTTTGCTCAATTTGTAGACTAGAAGTATATAGTTTCGTTACCCAGCTTCTGAGTTGAGTGCATGGCATGACACTGTGAGCTGCGGACTTCATTTGGAATGTTTTTCGACTGACTAACGTGGTGGTGTGGTTTGTTGATTCAGAAAATGGCGCGATGCCGGTTGTCGCTATATTGGTGGGGGCCATTATTTTATTAAAATTGATCGCGTGTGCAACTGCTGATCTTTTGGTGACTTCTGCTACCAGCAATGATGAATGTCAGACTGTTTGTGTTACCACAAGGGACTGTGATAAACATTCTGTGTGTTTTTCGTTGGCACAGGAGCGGAGCAAAGATGGGGTGACCCGTTTGCTATGAAGCTGAAATTAAAATTACCAGATGACCAGATTACTAGATAGGCAGATTTTTAATCAGGTTGTAATTGAAACTATTAGCATGTTGAATCTTTGTTGGCTACCAAAGAATGGGAGGGAACACAACTGGGGTGAATGTCAAGAGAGCAGTGAGTTCTACTCTTGATTTATTCATTCATTTATGCATTAGACCATATGTTTCCCAAAAAATTTTTTAGTTTGAAATGGTTTCCTACAAATTTGTTTAGTTTGAAATTGGGAGTCATTTTATATACAGAATGTGTTTTAAATATTTTTTTTTTTTAATTTTCAATTAAAAAAGTTTTTTTTAAAACAGGTGTTGTCTTGAACTTTGTGGGTGTCTTATATACAAAACAAGATAAAGTAAGTATATTTAAAGAAACAAACACTCAGCTGACATTCAAATGAAAATATATAAATTGTTATCCCACATGTATTTTCTCACCGGGAGCTCCACAATCACAGCACACTCTGTTCCCGGGCAACCTGCGAATTCGGTCCATTATGCTGGAAGTCAGTTCTCTCACACTCTGGTTCAGACCTGGGGTGTTTGAACTGTCCTTGAAAGCTTTCATGAGGATCTCTTCTTTTGCATTGTTGAGAACTGATATCCACCTACAGTCAACGGAAAGTAATTAGTAATTAGTGAGGAATCCTTCGAAGTTAGAGAGCATCTACCTGAGAGGACAGAAACCATCAGTCAGTCATAGTTTACAGCAGGTGAAAGCTAAGACATTCATTTTACTTTAAGTGAACACATAGATGATCTTATCATGCCCCAGCCTGCCAACTGTCATATCACAGTCTTAAAGTGTTTTTAATTCTTCTTCTTCACCATTCCGGGCCCGTGAGGTTCATTACTGCAGATATCACTTGCCTCCATTCATCTCTCTGGTTGGCCTTCTCTTTCCAGTTGGTGACACCAAGTGTTTGCAGGTCTGTCGGGACATTATCTCTCCATCGTCTTCTTGGTCCCCTTTGTGGTCTACAACCATTCATCTCTCTTGTGTATACAGTTTTTACATCTCTGTTATCTGAATTTTTTCAAAATGTCCCAATCATTTCAGTCTATTAGCTCTCATAATGCCAATGATCAATGGTGATTTAAACATTATGAATTTCATTGTTGCTTCTCACTCTCCATTCCCCGCTGTTTGCATCTTTGATAGGTCCAAAGATTCATCGTAAGACTCTGTTTTTGAAAACCTTTAATAAGGCTTCATCTCTTTTAGCTGAGCTCGAAGTTTCTGAGCCATATAAAACAACTGGTCTTATCAATGTTTGATATATTTTTTTAGAATTAGCTACCCCATTTCTCCCAGCATTTGTTTAATGAACCTGCTCCTTCAGTGCTTGCCCTTAAAATGGTAACTGGTATATTCCATCGTGATTCATAACTAAGGCTTTAACATCTGCACCGTTCAGCACAACACATCCAGTTTCAGCAAATTCTTACTTAGTCGTCTTTTATGACATGCTTGTTAAAGGACAGTTGGACTATTCTTTCCTCCAAAATGAGACCCGAAACCCAAGATGGGACTTTTGAAAAGTGATGAGAGCTGAGAAGATTAACTTCAATCAGATTGTATCATATCTGTCTGAGTCTCTCTCCTACAGCAGCTAAGATCTAGATGCCACTGCACCATTTGTCACCTGATGCTCATGACTCCCAATATAGACCAGGAAGGGAGGCGGCGCAGTGGGTCTATCTTTCGTTCTCCAAAATGGAGCCCCAGAATCCACACAGGGACCCACAGGATGTATCCCGTACATAGTAAAATATTTGTAGGTGATATACTTTTATACAGTAGGTGCTATGGCAGATGCATCTATGACTGCAGAGATGCTATAGTGGCATAGAATGACTAACAGTGTAAGACCTGACAAGAAGAAAGACAGCCAACAAGTTGACAAGATGTATGACAGTGAATGACTTGACATGTTCGCCAACAGTGAAAGAGTGGAAAAGTTGACAGTGAATGAGCTGACAAGCTGACTAATAGTGAAAAAGTTGACACTGAAAGTTGTGTGTTCAATTTCAAATTCTGTCCATCAGCTTATAAATGGTGTTTTCAAAATCATCATAAGTCACTGCCGAAGCTAAATAGTTTTGAGCTTTGTGTAACACTCACAGCCGACAATCACTCTGCACAGAGAGACCAAGCCTTATATAATAAAATTCAGTGCTATGATGTTGACTCTCATGTCTTTAAAAACCTTATTCAAGTATATAACAACATCTTATAACAAAAATATAGAACATGAAAAACAAAACAAAATAAAGTTGTTGAAATGTTATCTGTGGAATACTTACGCATCCATTTCTTTGGTGTCATCGGCTTGAAAATGGTATGTTCGGTTGTCTGTCAAACATAAGTCATTTATTTTTTAATAACTGTGTATGTGATCATAATAGTGCAATCAACACGGTTCAGCATTTTTAGCAGAAAAGTTTCTAGTTTTACATTTCACATTTGTCTCTCAATTTTTTTCTCTAATTTATTAATTTCCTTCCATTCTTTAAAGGTAGGCTCAAAGAAGAGACTGTCAACTTGGTGTTAAATTTTTGGTCTTCACACATTCTAGGCCACAACATATCAAACATGATAAACAGTTCCAATTCCCATCATCTTTCTTGTCCAGACATTTCCAGAACATTCAGGAAATTACCCACTGTTATGAGGTTCAGTTGACCCCAAAGCAAACTACTTCTGGGCATTAAACCTGCCCTACTGTCTTGCTAGGCAAGCCCACAAACCATTATACCATTCTCTACTCTAACAAAATGGTTCACCTTGAGATGACTGCAAACTTCCTTTGTGGCTACTTATCACTAGTTGCAAATTTCCAAATGTCACATTTTTTATATCTTCAGAACAAACAGATTCTGACCGTTAATATCAGTTTTGGAACTCTGTGCTGGTCGCTGAAGATGAGGATGGAGTACACATGGGAATGCCCCGAGTGCTGTGATGTCAATTCTTGACTCAACTCAACTCAGAACACAAAATTACAGTAAATTGTGACATACGAATCAAGCTGGTACACGAGTTGACCTCAAGATGTTTAGACACAAGTTTTGAGTAAGGCATATACATACTAAACGCATTTTATAAGCGCCATATAAGTCTACCCCTGGTTTTGGAAATATGCTGAGTGTAAGACAGAGGTGGCTATGTGAAGTAATAGGCCTGGGGCGTCCAAACATTCTAATTGTAGGTGGGCGCCTGGACTTTACATCCCCTTAAAAAGCCATGGTTATTATCCCCTGGGACTCCATTTATGGGTCCCAGACAGTCTGACCATTAGACATCCCAGTTACAATGTGTTTTCGCTTCGTTAAATGTATTTAGCCAAATCTTCAAACTAGGAGATAATTGGGTCAGCACTAGGCTTTATTGATAGGTTTAAACCAAGGTCAGGCTAATTTTGGTACAGGTAGGTTACAGAGTTACTATTCTTTGTTTTCCTTTGCCTAGAGGTTTCGTGTTCTTATAGAAATGCTAAATATATAGTGATGTTGATTGTAATAACATAAAAGGGTTCTGGCACTTTCATTAAACAAGCCAGTCAAATTCTTAAGGTCTCAAAGACGTGGTTTTGACTGAATAAATCTTAAAATTCTTTGAAAAACCAAAATGAGTAACCCACATGTTTTGAAACAGGTGACGGATTGAAGACAACATCACAAATATCAGGAGACAGTCATCCTTTTTTGGGCATGTTATGAGAAGAGGGAAACTGGCACATGTTATGGCCACTGGACAGATTTGTGGAAAGAGAGACAGAGGAAAACAACACAGAAGATTCTTTACGGCCCTCTGTTAGGGCATGAAAAGATGTCAGCACATGACCTGATATACGCTGTTGGAGATTGCAAGTTGCAGAGAGGATGATAGCCCATGTTAGTCTGCAAGGTATTTGATGCTGATGAACTGGGTCCACAATAATAGCACAATTTCAGGATTGACAGCGGTCCACACAACATGTTAGGTTAGTTGTGTATCCTTTACAGGACGTTGCAGAACCAACCCCAGCAGCCCCTGGCTGTTGTGTGGTTTCTATAGGCAAATTTACGTCCAGTAGTTTGCCACTGCTTTCTGGACAGTCGGCCTCCTGATACCACTGTCGAAACCAATGAAAGGCACATGGCCCGCAGCTGGGATCGAACCCGGCACCCTGGCATTATGAAGCGTTCACATCGACTTAGCCACAGAGCCGACACACAACATGTACACACTCCTAAATAACTTACTAAGTGATGAGACGAGATCAAAGCATTTCTTGCCAAGGTCATCTGGAACCAGCTGGGTGCAGAAATAAAATGTTAAAATATGACTTTCTACTTAACCGTTTCTATATCAAGCAACATCCCATGCATTATTTTGTTAATTTGTTATTGTTCTTTTGCCCTCAACTCCTTAATCTTCTTCTTCTTCTTAACGTTTACCAGCTGTAAACTCTAGCGGGAGGTTCTGGGTGTTCATCCACTTCTGGACTTTAGTCTTAGTCTTGTTCCAGGACTTCAGTTTTGTTTGCGCATCTGTTTTACAGATCTGGTATATTTGTATGCAGACAGCAGTTGGTTGTTGGTTCCTCGCCTTTAAGGGAAAGACCCCTAATTAGTCGCTTGCTCGACATACTTGTAATGGGGGGGGGGGGGGGCATGCAGTGTTTTTTTTGGGGGGGTTAAATTTGGTGCCCTGGAATCCATAAGGGGACAGCTCCCTAATAAATAAGGCACAAGCTCTTAACCAACATGCACAATTTATTACTGACTGTTCTCTGCCCTACCCACCTAAAAAAAAAACACTCCTGATGACAAAGAGCCCCGCCCTAGATATCAATCCAAAAGAAAACATTCCAGATAGAGGGTTTGACCTCTAAGAAAGTTATAAGTAGGGCACTTAAAACATCAGCACTAATTACTACCTTGGTGTAAACTGCAGCCCTATGTCCATACATATTCACACATTTCTTACACTTTAGTCAATTAACTCTTGGGTCACTGATGTGTGAATGACTTTACCCATTGATTCTACACACACACACAACTCCCCCCCCCCCCCTCCCCCCACAATAGCATAATGCGTTCTCCTAATTTTAACATTTGGTGAAAGCATACTAAAGAAACCTGGCCTTTCTAGTAGTCACCAGTATATTGCCACTTTGAAAGTAATGCACTCATGATTTTCATCATAGTTATTTCTTCACTTTACCTTCTCTAGTGAAATATTCTGGTACAGAAAAGTTAACCCTCCTTTTGGAGTTTCAGGTTCAAATCCTGAGTAAGGTCACAGACATTTATTTTCTTGATGGGGAGGGGGATCTGGGCAAACTAAATGTATAAACCTTCACAGACCATGACAACTGCACCAGCCATGGGGCCCTAGATCCTCAGGCTCTTCTTCTTCTTCATGTTCACTAGTGAAAAGTTCTTGTTGTTTATCCACTTCTGGACTTTAGTCTTGTTCCAGCAACTGGGTTTTGCAAGCACACAGGTTTTACAAAACTGGTTTTTATGCATGCAGACTGTTGATTCCCCAATTCTCCAGCAGAAGCACTCTGACTTTGAAGGAAACATCCCTAATTAGTCAACTTTATGACATGCCTGTTGGTCTATTCTTATTTTCTTCACAATGGGGTCCCGGAACCTATATGGGGAATCCTCAGATTCAAGACCCCCTGACCTACACAGCCCCAACAACTGGTACTGTAGGCAATAAGGACAGTAAACCTTATTGTCCCTTTCTTTCAACACACATATTAGGTTACAGTTTTACAATTTTTTTGTGTGTTCTCCTCCACCTCAAGGTCTTGTGTTTGAATCCACATCCAGACAGTTTTTTTAAAACTCTTTCTGTCCCAACCAACATAACAGTGTGTGATCAGCTATAATCATTGTGTATCAAACAACGAGCGACATGTAATTATATGTTTTACATTAGGTTTGAGCGTGCTTAAGAAATCTGGATAGATTTGCTAATTTACAGTATAGTATTTGCTGTCTCTTTGAAAGTAATTGACTCACGCTCTGTTAATTCTGTCTATTATCTCCTGAAGTATTTAAACAAACCTTCTGGTACTGAATAAATTTAATGTATTTTATAACTGACTAAGGCTTTCAGGCCAACCAGGTCTTTAAAACGGTACCAGGAAATATCCTGGGAATTTAAACAACCAGAAAAATCTTACGCCCCAGCCCCAAATGAATAGTCAACGTCATCAAGCAGGTTCCTTCTCATCACAGCATGCCTGATAGTCTCTCTCTCTCTCTCTCTTTCTCTAACCAATTCTGCTGCCCTATGTGCTTTCATAGCCAATGATAGTCAATGTCATCAAGCAGGTTCCTTCTCATCACAGCATGCCTGATAGTCTCTCTCTCTCTCTTTCTCTAACCAATTCTGCTGCCCTCTGTGCTTTCATAGCCAATGCATTTTCAGTGTCCTGTATCTACATCCACCAAGTTCTACCTCTGTCCCTTTTGCCAGAAACTGTACTCTCCATCACCGCTCTCTCCAGGCCCCCATGACATTAAACATGGCCAAAACACCTCAGCTTTCGGAACAGGATGCTGTTTATTAGCCAATTCTCCATGCTCAGATTATGCATGATGTCAGTATTTTTTTCCTTATTGTTAAATGGCACTTGAAGAATTTTTTTCTGCAGCATTTCGATTCAAAAGCTCTGATTTCTTTCTTTCTTCAATGATTGAGTAAAAGTCCAAGCCTTACATAACAATGAACAGTAAAGTAGGTAAAGGACTTTTTTCACGCCTTTAGGCATATAGGGCATATAGGGCTAGACCTATATTTAATAGACCAATCGGCACAAGATGGGTGATGTTGTCAGCATCACGCCGGTCATCTTTACTTCCCCGGACTGCACCCGGTACCCTCTCAAGGCTGGGTCGACCTGGGAAGCCAAGGTCATTTTTGAAAAAAACAAAACAATGAACAGTATGTACATTCAATAAAGACTTTCACAAACACATTTCATCTGTCATACCTTGACTTGACATGTGAGCAAATTTAGTTTCACTGGGTCTTTACTTTCCTGAAATTAAAGTTTATAAATAAAAAGGAAAACAATTACACTCATGTATGTAAATATCCTGTTCTCTACTATGCTTCTATATGCTCCCATGCTCTATATGTATGGCATGTGTGTGTGCATGTATATCCATAAATGTATGTCTGTGTTTTCTGTTTGTGTATGTATGTAGATGCGTGTGTGTATGTATTACGTATGTCTGTATATGAGTGTGCATGTATGAGAACGTAGGAGTATGTATACGCGTCTGTGAGTGTGTATGATTGTGTACACATGATGTGTGTATGCAATATTCTATAACTTATATTTCTTTATTATATCCATAACATGCATTACTGATAACAGGCATTGGTACTCTGAAAAATGAGTGCTTAGAAAGGCCGAATGTCAGACGGGCCTGCGTGCCCAATTTGTAACCCTTTGAAAATAAAGTTTGTTCGTTCGTTCGTTCCCATGCCTCTTGAAAAATGTACAAGCAAAAAATTTGAAAACAATTACATTTATCTTTGTAATCCCTGTGTTTCTCCTTTGTCCCTACCTATTCTCCTAAATAAAAAAGTATACACAAAAATATGAAAACTAAAGTATTATTTCTCCATTAACTTTTCGGTGTCAGAAATACGGAGATGTGTCCCTGTACCTTGGCACCAGAAAATGCTGAGCATGTGCTTTAACACTGTCAACTGTATGCTGCCAACAGAGATGCAATCTGGCCTGTTGCAAGCACCATGAAGTCAAAACTGTATGGTACACGAGGAGATATGGATTGCACGACAGCTTTCATTAAGGTTACCGGCCTACTGATATAAGTTTTCTGACAGAAGGATTAAAGAAGAAGAGGAAGATTTCTCTATTGTAAACTTTAATTTACTGTAATATGTTTGGCAAGAAACTGTTCAGTCTACTGTTTGTCTCATTTGTTCAAACATGAAACAATTTATATTTATCTACGTAGATAGCTTAGAAAAAGAAAGGGGCTGAGTGGTCTCAAGGTATGTTGGAGGTCCCAGGTTCAAGCCCCGGTGAAGGCTGGGATTTTTTCATATCAACTTCTAGTAATTTGGTCCCCTGGTCTCTGGGTAGTGGGATCAGATGCCCGTGTGTATTCTTGCACTTGAAAAAATCTCTTGGCGGTTGGAAATCGAAAAGAGTAGCCTAACGGCGCTGCCCGGCCAAAAATTGGAAGTTAAACATTTACCTAAAGTATTTCAGGATCCTCACCAGTGCAAGGGAGTTTGTGCACTGCACTGAGATTCTTCAGACTCAGGCTTGAGTTAGAAGAAGAACGGAGCACTTATGGGTTACACCCATCTGCCATGATGTTGATCCATCGAATAAACATATACATAGAATAAACATTAGGAAAAAGAATACATGATGACCTAGGGAAAGATGGAGAAGGGCAGTAGAAAGAGTCTTAACTGACATGGAATACAGATCTACCACCATTCAGCTTCCTTGTGTGTGTAGTCTGTTACCTGTCTGTCATCTGACATTCTCTCAATTATGCCTCAGCCATTTCAGTCTATTAGCTCTCATGATGCCAGTGATTAATGGTTATTTAAACAGATTATGAATTTGTTGTTGCTTCTCACTCTCCATTTACCGCTGTTTGCATTTTTGATAGGTCTGAAGTTTCATTGTAAGACACTGCAAAAATCTGTAATAAGCCTTCATTTCTTTTAGTTGTGTTCCAAGTTTCAGAGCCATATAAAATGCCTGGTCTTATCAACTATTTATATATTTTGATCTTGGTGTTGCGAAACTGAGACTCTGACTTTAGCAAATGTTGAAGGGTATAGTGTACTTTACTTCCAGATTTAATATAGACATACATGTCTTCTCTCAGAATGTTGGAGAAGTTGAAGTTTGCACCCAAGTACTTGTATGATTCCATTCCTTTGATTTTCATATTATCAACATGTAAATGGCCGGAGTTCATATCATTTCCCTGTCTTGTTATTATAATGTATTATTTCTTATCTTGATTATTAACTAGTCCTATTTTGTGAGCTGCTTCTTTTAAGAAAGTCAGCCTTTTTACAATCTAGTTCATTTTCTCCAAAGATTTCAATGTCATCTGCGTAACCAAGTATTCTTTTAGTTCCTCCTATGGTACACTCTTGTTTCAATTTCCTTATAATTTTCTCCAGGGCCAAGAAATGGGGACAGAGCATTACCCTGCTTTAAACCAGATGTTATTTGAAAAGGACCTGACTTTCTGACTTTATATGTTAGATTCTCTCAATTATGCCTCAGCCATTGCAGTGTATTAGCTCACATGATGCCAGTAATCAATGGTGATTTCAAAAGAATATGAATTTGTTGGTTCTTCTCACTCTACATTCCCTGCTGTTTGCATCTTTGATGGGTCCAAAGATTCATCGTAAAACACTGCGAAAATGTGTCCCTACTGTCTGTCTGCATGTACCACCTTTTAGGGTGGTGCAGGCAGGGAGTCATGAGCCTGAGTCGCCAAAGACTGTACAGGTTAGGATGTTTAATTTTTCGCCCGATAGAAACACTCCATCATCTTACTGGAAGCTGGAGTCACTGAAGAGATCTCGTCGGATAGGAATTTGTTTCATTTTTGTGCCACAATACTCAGGGGTAAGAGGGAATGAATGAGCAGACGCTTGCTGGCAGTGCTACAGTAGGTATAGCAAAAGCAATGGACAGGGTCAAGATTCCCAGTGCTCTCAAGGAAGCAGGACGATCAGATGATTCAGGAGACAACACTGAAATGGCAACACTCAAAAGATTATAAGAATTTCAGGTCAAAAGAGGTGTTGCCAAACATGAACACTATATAGGTAGCCAAAGAAGAACAGTAAACCAATACAGAACTGGTGTTATCAATTGCCACACGCTGAGGGATGTACTGAAGATGAGATCCAAGAGCTTAGGACTTGTCTCATGTGCAATGATAATCTGTCGATTAACTAACAAACTAACTAATTACCAGAGAGTCTCCCATAATCAAGAATGGTTTAAAACCCAACCACTATTGCCAAGAAATAAATGAAACAATATGCTCTTTAACTGCACTGGAGAAAAAAAAATTGCTACAATAAAAATTTCCATCAACATATTTCAGGCATTAAAAGTATCTAATACTATAAAAATCGAATAAAATCTACACATAAAACTATATATGTATGTTCTATTCTTGAGCTAATTCCAAGATTTTTATAAAATGGAAAAATTGACATTTTTGTGGAGAACTGATGGGAAGGTATTTAAAATCTGTATTGTCCCTGAGAAAATGGGACGCTTGGGCACCCTAGTATATGTGTGTGTGAACATATGTATGCATGTATGAGTATATACACTTGTAAGCATGTGTAATTTACAAAACTTAACAACAACAAACTTACATCATGGTGGCTAATGTACATACAGCCCTTTCGTATGCTACATTTCCTCTTTTGCCACACTCGTCGCATTCTGCCCTCGGACTTCTTTAGGAGGCTTCCAGTTTTCTCACAGCCATGTGACTTATCCCCAGCCAGTTGATGAAGGCTGTAGCCTGCTGGGTTTGAGCTGACTGGCGTCTAGGATATACATATAAAATACATACATAAACACAGAGGCATTAAGTCACACATATGTTCATTGTTCATTCATTGTTCATTATTGTTAACATCTTCGTCCTACTTCAGGCATGACCATAAGTGCTCTGATCTCCTTCTGAGTACGTCTCCAAGTGTTTTTAGGCTAACAACTGCCATTCTGTTCTGGCTGGTGTAACAAGGGGTGGCTCCTGCATGGTTTACTTGTCTTGCAGCTCCAACTGGTGTACCCAGGGTATGCAGTCTATTCAGTGAAAAATCGTTTTCCACGAAACTGAAAGCCTTACTGAGTGTAGTCTCTTGTATCACACTGTTGGTGTGTCTCCTGTCCATAGAGAGTCCACTCCTGATAGTTGCCAGACAGAGCATCTGCTCTCTTATTGCCTTTCACACCAGCATACCCTGGGTCTGTTTAGTGATACACATATATAAATTCATACATACATGCAGACTTTTTGTTTTCCTAGACAAAAAGGCACCAGCACTTACCACACAGTGTCTTAATAAAGGTGCCAACACTCACCACACAGTGTCTTAATAAAGGTGCCAGCAATCACCACACAGTGTCTTAATAAAGGTGCCAGCAATCACCACACAGTGTCCTAATAAAGGTGCCAGCACTCACCACACAGTGTCTTAATAAAGGTGCCAGCACTCACCACATTTTTAATAAAGGTGCCAGCACTCACCACACAGTGTCCTAATAAAGGTGCTAGCACTCACCACAGTGTCTTTATAAAGGTGCCAGCACTTACCACACAGTGTCTTAATAAAGGTGCCAGCACAAACCACACAGTGTCTTAATAAAGGTGCCAGTTCTCACCACACAGTGTCTTAATAAAGGTGCCAGTTCTCACCACAAAGTATCTATTACAGTAGCACTGGAAAAACAATGAGGTCTAAAAAGTTGCTGGTTCTGTGTACAATTGCACATCAACAGAACAAACAAAAAACTGTGCATACAAGTATGTGTAAATACATACATACATTTCTACATAGATCACATACATGTGCAAAGAGTACAGTGCAAGTCATTAGTAGCAGGAAGGAACCATGGTGGTATGGTGTACTGTCAATACTCTCAGAGGAAGGAAGGAGAAGTGGTGATATAGTGTTATGTTAATACACAAAGTAGCAGGAAGGAAAGTTGTGTTATGTTAACACTTTCAGTGCTGGGAAGGAAGGGTGGTGATGTTGTGTTATGTCAACACTTTTTGGAGATAAGAATAAGAGTAAAATCAGTGATTCCTCTTATTCTCTAGAGGGAAAGGATGAAGATAAACTTCAGAGGCTAAGGAAAGTCATTGAAGTGAGTGATGCTCAACCCCCACCATGACCGCACAACGAGCGATTAACCCTTGTGACATAAAGTGCCATCATTCAGACTAGAACTGCCCAGGCACAAGTCCCAGAAACCCTGTTGAACCGTTAGGTTATATTAGGGCCCCTGACAACAGCCGGGGTGTGGGTTGTAAAACATCTATAAATGGCATATTTACATTGGCATATTGGGATAAAATAATACTAAAGTTGTTGGGGATCAAGAACGAAAGTAGACTATTACTGTAGCAAGTACATACTGCAAACACAAATTTAAAATAGAAGTAGGAATAAATGTCAAAATTAATGCAACTCAGCAGACATATGAAAACATGCCCCAAGTAACAGTGACAAACATGTGAAACTTTGTGCCTTTTTTATAAGACCCCTTTAGTAAAACTAGTTCCGTTTTATGTAAATGAACTAAATGTTCAAATAAATAAATAAATTCAAATTTAATTCAATGCAAATTAATAAACTGAAATATAATTAACTCTTTAAGTCCCAAGGAACACATCATGCGTTCATAGGTTCCTATCTAGAAGCCCAAGATGTGTCGATTATATATTTCTCTTTACCACTACTTGGGCCTCTGATACTAAACCACCTGGGACTGAAAGAGTTAAAGAGAGCTTCAGATATTGAAACAACAAAATTCTTTCTTGCTGGGTAAGTGAAAAAATAACGGGTGAATGGGTTTGTGTACAATAAAATAATAGCAACATAAAATTTTAAAAACTATTAAAAAACAACAGCAAAAAGAAACAATATCACTTTAAGGCTTCCCCGTGTGGGTTCTGGGGCCCTACTATAGGGAAAACAAAAATAGAACCACTACCTACTAAAAAGCATGTCGTAAGAGTTGACTAATTGAGAGCTTCCTTCAGAATGCATCTGCCTGAGAGGCAAGGAACCAACAGTCTGCATACAAGTTAGTCAGATCTGTCAAACGGATGCACACACAACACTCAAGTTCTAGAACAGGACTGCAGTCCAAAAGTGGACAAACAACCAGAACAGAGTTTACAGCTGATGAACGTGAAGAAGAAAAAGAAGACTTTAAAGCTAACCTGTAAAACATACAGAAAGCAAAATAAAAGTATAATCATGCAAAACAAAAGTATAACCATGCTAATTGTTTTGTTTTTTAAAATAAATGCAAGAAATTAAAGTAGAATTACTGCAGACAACTTGGTATAATGTATATAAAGGGCAGAAAATGAAGTACAATTATTCATATCCTTTTTCTCCCCCTTTGCACCTGGGTGTAACTAGAGGGTCTGGCCGGCTCACTACACTCAAAGGAAAGGCAAGACGAACATTTAACCAGATTGTGACCGGTAACATCAGTAATGGAACTCTGCGCTGGCTGCTGAAGATGAGGACGGAGCACACATGGGAATGCCCTGACTCAACTCAACTCAACTCCCCCTTAATGTTATTACTGATCTCATTGTTCTTACTTTTGCTACTCCTAACATGGAATAAATGCACAGAGGATAAGGAGGAGGTAACTGGAAAGAAAACGGATCTGAACAATATAATATAGAATGATGTCTAAAAGAACTGTGCTGCACAGAAGGGAAAAAAAAAACTAGCTTCCTTTTCTTCTTCTCTTCCACCTTGTACCTCATTGTAGTGTTGGGGGGAGATGTAACATACGTTGATGAGCTCTGCCAAGAGCACTATTAAGAATGATGTTCATTTCTGTAAAGCTGTTTTTAATGCCATCAGTCCATGTTTTACGAGGTCTTCCACTTGCTCTGTACCTGTCGTAACATTTTAGTGTGGCTTGCTGAGGCAAATAGTACCAGGGCATTCTTGTTAGGTGTCCAAACCACTTTATTTGTTGTTCTTTGATGACCTGTAAGACCGGCTTTATTTCTAGCATTGGTCTGATAAGCTTGAGATTTATAATTTAAACATGAAAATGGTTGCATTCTCAGTGCAGACTTTCATTGCAGGGCACACACAAGGAAAACTACATTCACAAAAGCATGCAAGGATTAGGTGGCACAAACTTATGGTGGGCTGAAGAAAGAGATTATGAAAGCAGAGGGACATGATCAGATGACTTCTTCATTTCCTCTTTTACTACTATGGGTGCTGAAGCAGATATATGATTCTGGTTCTTGCTCTTCTGGCCGCCTTGAACACAGAGACAATGTGCTGTTGTAGAGTTTCTCTGATGTTAACTTTACATCTTGTTCTTGGTCTACCTCATGCTCTAGATTCTTCTCCTCTATTGGTGTATGGCTGGTATGGTACGGCATCACAAGGCATTTTTGCTAACTATGCAAACCATTTGATTTGCTGTCTGTGTGTGTAATCAAATGGTTTGTACAATTAGAGAGAATGCCTTCAGATGACTTCAATACCTGTATTTATACTGACTGATCTGATGATGATGCTGATTAATTACTCTGTGAGTCCTGTCTCAAACTTACTTCTGGTAAATGAAGTGACCATGCAAGTAGCTTTGCTAATTCTTTGTTCCATTCTGTTCCTTGATCTAAACAAAATATGTTTCTTTCTCACTGTATCCCCAATGAAGTTATTACTGTCATTATTAAATGGCATGCCAACTGGCACTTCTTCACATCTGGCAACTGGTGCTTCTTTACATCTGGCAAGTGGTGCTTCTTCACATCTGGCAACTGATGCTTCTTCACATCTGGCAACTGGGGCTTCTTCACATCTGGCAATCTCTAAAAGGACGTATGGTAGAAGGCCGTCTAGTATCTTCTCTATCCATCTTCTACTTGTCCCTCCACAGACATTCACAAGTATCACTATATCTACCAGTTTTTGTGTGTATGTGTTTTATAATGTGCCGAAAAAAATACAATTCCTTTTTCTTATGTTTTTGCTAAGTATGTCTTTGTGTCCTGGTCCCTTTCAAATCATCTCTGGCTGTTGGGGCATTTTTCTGTAAAACCACAAGTAGTTTTGTGTGTGTGTGTGACATTTGTAAAATCAAAGCAAACCTCCAAGACTGAATAAATTAAACACATATTTCAAACTATGTTTCAAGTTGAAATAAAAATAATATGTGCGTAAACATAAAATAATAAGCACATATCAATGCACAACTTTAAACAATAAAGAAAATATAAGTACCCATCCTGATCCAGAAAAACGATTGGTCTGCAAATTGTTGTATTCAAGAGAAGGAATCAATAATCAAAATGGTTTTTTTTTTTTAAATGTCATAAAAACGTAGGAAATATTTTTTTTTTAAAGTAATAGAATTACATTATGAGAAAGCCCGGTCAGTAACAATAAAGGGGACTGATTTCAAATAAATGCTTCATGTTGTTTTTTGTTTTTTTTTAAACCTAATTCACTTACTGTTTATCCTCTCAGGGCTGCTAAAAACCTGAAATTGTGTCACCCCTGTTTCCGATAGTTGCATTCTTGATGTCAGTCCAACAGAGTAAACAATACCTCCCCCCCCTTTTTCCCCCCACCCCCCACTTCCTCCCCCATACAACCTCAAAGGAAGTTATAATTATGGCACTGTATTGGCTACATCAAGTACCAGACCTGTGTACCCTGCAGTCTTGTGCAGGTGAATATTCTTTCACCCCAAATATTTGAGTTTCCAATCTTATAAGTCATGAAGAATTTGAGAAGTGGTGATGACTTAGTTTATATTCTTATATGCAAACATCACGCTATCATCCTGTTTTACTTTATTCTTCTCCATTTTAACTAACTTTTAATTGTAATGGTCATTTAATATATTCCCTTGAATGTGTTTTCAAATAAGGTGCATATGATCTCTTCGACTTACGACCAAGATCAGTTCCAACTAACAGATCGTAAGTCGAACTGGTTGTAAGTGGAATTTATATCTGTTCACACAATTTTCATTCTATTGGATTATAAAAACACAAAAATAATTATTGTTTATAATATGTGTACCCTACTGCATTAGCTCCAGTAATTTCAGACCCTATAAATGTATTTATCTTTCTTTACAATTTCTATTGATTTGTGTGTGGTCAATGAATGTTAAATTAAGAATCAACATCATAGCACTCGGGACATTCCCATAAGCGCTCTGTCCCCATTTTTAGCAGCAGTTCCAATTCCGATGACACCAGTAACTGTCTGTATATCCGTCTTGTCTTTCCCTTGAGTGTTGAGAGTCAGTCAGATCCCTCGTAACTACCCACAGCGCCATTCTCCTCAGACCGTAATGATCTGTTTGCACTTCTGCACTGTTCACTCGCTCCTAGAGGGTCCTCACAGCATCTAGTGTGTCATACATCAGTTCACCACCAAGTGGTGCAGAACCGGCCAGTCTATCTGCCTGCTTATTTCCCAACACACTGACATGACCTGGAGAGAATATCTAAAGAATGTTAACTACCCGAGACCACGGAAGCTATGCTTGCCACTCTACACATAGCTTACCTGTCTCCACCTTTCTCAACATGCTCTGTGAGTCAGTTACAATCAGGGCATGTGTGTACAGCTAATTCTCAAGATTTATAAGTCGCCCTAATGATAAGTCATGAAGAAGGTATATTTCACTAATAAAATTACTAGTTGAAACGTTATCATGTCTTTACCTACCTCTTTATAAGAAGTCATAGAGTTTTTCAAAGCATCTCGAAGCTCCACCAACTGTCGCTTTTCTGCATCCTGCCTACTTTTTATTTTTTGAATTTGTTTTAACAATTCCTCCACAAAGTCGTGGAAATGTTGAATTGTACGCAAACCATCTCGGAAAAAGCTGAAACAGAAGATATACTAAGAAATCCACTGCTTGATAACAGATAAAATATGTATGCAATACAACATAGAACGGAAGCTCTGCAGCACAGTGGCCAGAATGCTAACTTGTCAACCCATCATTCATGCATTCAAATCTTCCTCTAGTAGCACAGGACAACTGGTTACTTTGTAAACATTTTGTGATGCCCCAATATAACTGTGCTGTATGTCTATACAGATGTATAGGGTTTCCAGGATTTGTGCCTGTTTGATTCTCATCCTTGAGATGTTGATTCTACAGACTGTAATGCTGGAAGAGGAAGAAACTAAACAAGGAAAAAAAAAACTCTAGGCAGGTGTTTTTTTTTCCAAAAACTAAACTGAACCTTAAACACAGCAAAAAACAAGCCTAACTTTCTATGTATCATGCATTAATTATATTTCATCTCAGATAGATATTTATCTCAAAAAAATATTTATCTCAGACAGTTGTTAGATGTTTACAGTCAACATTTACGACATTGATTTTTATCTCAGATAGTTGTTAGCTGTCTACAGTCAGTTAACATTTCTGACTCTTCTTTTCTCTCCGATAGTTGTTACATCTATTGAATTGTTTGTTTTACTTCTTCTGCCCCACAGTGTTATTATTTAAATTCTTTAGACTCAACTCTTTGAGTCCCAGAGGGTTTAGCATCACAGGCCCAAGGGGTAGTAAAAAGAGACGTAAAATCGGTGCATCTAGTATTTACTGGGTTTCTAGGTAGGTACCTATGAATGTATGATGCGTTCCCTGGGACTCAAAAAGTTAAACAAATAAGAAGGTGTTAGAAAAACCATAAAGAAACATACACAAGTTGATTAAAAATTGAATGAAGTTATGCTGAATACTGCTCTCTACAGGACTAAACCTATGGAGTCATATGCCTCAATGCATGGAAATGGGACATATACTTATTTACCCACACATAGGACCAAGGCTTTTTTTCTACAAGAAAAAGTGCGGTACTGACACAAACGTGTCTAAAAATGCGGTGCTGGTACTTATCACAAAGTTTCAATTACAACAGCGCTGAAAATAATTATGCTAGAAGAGGTGCTGGTACTGTGTATCATTGCGTCCCCCCCCCCCCCCCACCCCCAAAGCCCTTGATAAGACCAATGACAACCTGTGTAAAACTTGATATGCTCATAATCAATACGCTTACTTGGCTTGCACTTGATAGTATTCCGCCAGAGACTGCAACAGATCTGAGCCTTTCTTGGTGCGGATTTCATTGACTTTGATCAAGTACTAATTTAAATAAACAGACACAAACAAAAAAACCATTCCTTTATAATACTTACACACAAAATCATATTACAGAAAAAAATACAGATATGTATGTCTCACATGTAACTGAAAAACTACTGAACAGGATATACCTTGTAAAACAAGTCAATAATTTAAAAAGTATCCACAAATAAATTTGTGGAAGCCATGTAGAAACTAAAAGGAAACAAAATTAAGTCTGACACCTTTCCAAATGATACTGTTTATACTCTGCTATTGGGGGGGGGGGGGGGGGGGGGGGGGGGGGGGGGGGGTATCAGAGTCCTGAGTGATTGCAAGTGTGACTAGCAAGACCTGCTTACATTTAGCCTGTTGTCGCCAGAAGACTAAATCTAGACACTTCCACTTGTGACACAGTCCCATAAATGCCATAATATCGGCCTGTCTGCAGTGACCTGATAGTTACATTCAATTTGTTCTATGTTCCACAGTGTTTATTAGTTAAGTTAGTTGTGTATCCTTTACAGGATGTTGCAGAACCAACCTTAGCATTTTTAGGCTGTTGTGGTTTTTCTAGGTAAATTTTACATTCAGTAGTTTGCCACTGCTTTCAGCTCTCAGTACTACAGTCGAAACCAATGCAAGACAAATCATCCGCAGCTGGTATCAAACCCAGCACCCCAGCATTATGAAGCGAATTCACAATGCCTAAGCCACAGATGCCCACGTGTTTAACAGGTCAGGATATAAATAAACTAACTAAAATATAGAATTTGTGGAAGGGTCCTTACGACTCCAGTGGTTTTTTAAAGCCAAGTTCATGTCAAATTTTTCCATATGCCTCCATGCTAGAGGTCATGGGGTACAGCAATGAGTCAGCTGATCCATGTTTTTATTTTTTTGGCCCCTAGGGAATGGATTCCATTCAATGATTCACCCTGTTCATGTTTATTGATTACCCTTTTGTTTATCTTTATATATTTTTGTAAATAAAAAAATGTTGATAAATACATTTTTTTTATAAACTTATATGTGACCTGTACAATGTTTTCTAAAGGACTTTCCTCAGACTTTGCATTTGTTCATGATACATTTTTTTTTAAGCATTCATGGGGTGAAAGGGTTAGATAAGTATTCCACAGTTAGGTAGTATGGAATTTCAGGACCACAGTTGTCACAGCATATATTTATGTCTTCTCACATGTTCAGCCCAGTTCTTAACCTGTGTTATAACTTTTTTTTTGGTGGGGGGGGGGGGGGGGGGGGGGGGGGGGGGGGTTGGCTTATCCCTATTCCTTTCCAGATTAACCTCAAACATGCTAAACTGTCCATGGCATCCTGGTCCTATGAATCCACCTCAATACTTGTATGTGACAGTGCTGAAAAAATAGCACACTATTCTCTATGAAAAATTCGATTGTCTTAGAAAACTGTAGATCAAGAAGAAGAAAAATATTGAGAATCTACAAGATCTGAACAAAATGTATATAGTTAGTTAGTTAGTTGACAGATTATCCTCACTGCACATCAAACCATTCAGTCCATAAGTGCTTGTACCCTCCCACCCCCCCCCCCCCCCCCCCCCCATAGAATATAACAAGACCACCAAAAAAAAGAGGAGGACAATAGATTTTGTGAGATGGACAGTAGGGGAAGACTAAGGGAGGTCTATAAATGCCTATGTTATCACATTAATTAGATTTGTAACTGTAGATATACTAACTGCTTATGAAAAAAAAATTTACTTGGCTTTTTGTTTTCTAAATTGGTTTATAAAAACATTTTGTTATTTTATTCATAATTATACTGAAAAAGAATAATTTAACAGATTATTACAAATGCACTTAATTTCAAAACTGCCTGACACCCCACCTTCTTACTAATAATTGCTAAATACTTCTCAGAGTTCATCAATGACAAGTTTTGGTTGTCTGCCCACTTCTTGACTTTAGTCTTGTTTCAGAACTTGAATATTGCTTGCACATCTATTTTACAGATACTGGTTTACATGTAAGCAGACTTTTGGTTCCTTGCCTCTCTGGCAGATGCACTCCAACCTAGGTAGAAATACCATTAATTAGTCGCCTTTTATGACAAGCTTGTAAATGAGGCAGTGGTATATTCCCCCCCACCCCCCCCCCCCCCCCCCCAAATTTGGTCCTGAAATCCAAATGGGGGATTTGTTAAATACATCTACTTCTTCAAACAATCCACGCAGTGTGGCTTTGTTAGTCATGACTATCCACAACATTCTGTCTCGTGTACTTTCAATCAAATCTGATACAGATGATCCTCCATGCCATGAGGTCACAACTGTCCAGCATGTTCTCTCGGTCTCCTTCCACCTTTCCTCCCCTCCAACTTTCCTACTGTCATAATGTACTCTAGATTTCTCCTTCTCATCACATGACCAATGATAGAATAACTGTAAAGCCTAAACTGAATTTACTCTTACCTCACACATCTGTAACTGGAATATCTTCCGTTCCTTTTCCATTTCCTCCGCCAGCTTAGAAAAAAAAAAAAAAAGAAATGGAGTGCATGGAAAAATCAGACAAAGAAGACCAATATTACAAATTATGATGAACACTTGCAATTTTTCTTCTTCTATGTTTGGCCTTCACTCTTTCAGCACTATACATTTCATCATCATGTGTCACTAAGTAATCCCTAGATAGAATATATTTCTTACTTTCTTCTAACACAAATAGTTGTTATATTCACTCACCACTTTTAAACTGTTGGTTCTACTTCTACCTCATAGTGTTATATAATATCAACTACTTTGGAAGCACACATTGGCTACTTTAACCAAGAATTTTTCACAAGCACACAAAAAAAGGAATTAAAGCAGTGTTTCCCAACCTTTTGTGTGCCATGCCCCACCTAAGCCTTTCTAAAATTCATAAAAAGGTAAAGGTAAAGTCGGGAGATGTGAACCAGCGTCACTGCACACGGTTATAAACCATAAGTGCTCTGCCACCAGTACGGACAGCTGATAAGAGTTGTCCGCCTGTGTCGCAGTTCGCACGTAACTCTGTAGCTACAGCGATGTTCCTCCATTTACCCCAGAGTGTCAACTCTGGTACCCATTTCCTAGAGGCTGGGTGAACCCCGGGAACCGCCTGGTTTTTAACAATGACCGTGGGCTGCAGCGAGTTGCAGCTGGATTTGAAAGCGAGCCCCTTATCGACTGCGCTAACGCGGCCACACTAAAATTCTTATGCTCTCTTATGAAACTTAAACTTTGGACGAGTCCATTTTCGAAGTGCCCCCCCCCCCCCCCCCATCCCAACACTCAAATTGCCCCCTGTGTCAGTCAAATTAACCAACTGTGTGGGCCCCATCTTGGGAAATAGTGACCTAATAACATGCATCAAAAAATAAAAGTTTTGTAGTTTACAGCTAGGCTGCAATATTTGTGCCTTTCGGCCCAACACAGCCAAACACAGTTTCAGCAAATCCTTCATTAGTTGACCTACTTGTCAATTGGGCAGTGGTCTATATACGAATTAACCCCATACACTGCGCCCTCTTCTAATGGGGCTCTGAAATCTGCACAGAGAAAGAGTTTTCAGAAGCAACTATATAAAGTGAGAAGTAGAGCATTTCTATATTTATATAGAGTGGCAAATAACACATAACGGAGGTAAAAACTGACAGATGGGCTGAACAGGAGTAGACCACAAGGCAGACCAAGAAGATGATGGAAAGATAGTATATAATATCCAGACAGACCTATAAAAACTTGTAGTCATTGACTGGAATGTGAAGGACAGTCTTAGAGATAAATGGAGAACAGCTGTACCCCCCTTTCCCTTCTTTGCCACTTTGTGTGTCTACACTCACGCATATATAAATATAAGCAATAAAAGAAATAACTGTGAAGAATGGTATTAGATCATTAAAATTAAAAACAAAAAATCATAAAAGCATTTATACAAACATCAGGAAAGTATCTGCCTCTATCTTATGGAGAAGGATACAAAGGGTAGTGCAGACTTTAGCAAAATTTGTGCCCATGAAATAGTTTGATTACTTTACTCTTTTTTTTTTTTTCTATTTGAAAATTATTTGCCCACCCATATCAATTATACTCACCTCTGCACCAGAAATTTCTGCTCTGATCATCCCTGCCTCCTGTGCCTGTTTTTTCTTCTCCTTCTCTGTTTTGGAACTATAGTGACAACAGGAAAATGTGGTTGTCAAGGTTGTGATGAAAAAAGTGTTCTTACATGATACTGAAACAACTGCACAGGAAAGGATAGAAAGGAAGAATGAATGAACGAACAAACTTTATTTTTTTTAAAGGGTCATAAATCGGGGACAGAGACTCATCTTATGTTCGGCTCTTCCAAACACTCATACTTCACAAAGAAATTGTATTTTTTCAAAACACTCATACTTCACAAAGCAAATGTATTTTATCAAAACACACATACTTTACAGCTTTATGTAATTTATAACAGCACAAAAGGATTAAGATGACGATGATATTTCAGTATTACTGGTTGTGCAATAAATTATTTATGATACATACGTTATTATTTACCAACATATGTCCTCACCAGCACAGGACCCCAGGTTATACCTAAAACTGGACTTCTGGTCCAGTATGGTGAATAGGTCAGCAATCCGTTAAATTTATGTAGAGCTGTTTGCTTCTGGTCAAATTTTGCTACTGCAATTTCCATACATGGACTGGAAAATAATGAGTTGAGTGCTTGGTGCAAAACTGTGAGCTGTGTTTTTTTTTATGAATTCCTTTTGCTGTGCCTGCTGCGGTTTGTGTCCTAATTTTCATAAAATGGCACGTGGCATTAGAGCTGGTTGAGTGCATTCTGCAATACTATTTACTGTGTACAACTAGCTTTTCATGACTGTAAACTTCTAAGACAAATTTCAATCCTAGTGGTGGACTGTTGGTGGTGGCACCTTTAGAGCCAACCTTAAGCACTTATATAGAGTGAATGTGGATTTTGTCGAGACTAATAATTTCAGTTTGTTCTCTAATTTAAATGTGACACAGGGAGCATTTTGTGTGATGTTCACTGCCACAGGAATAGAGCAATTATGGGTGACCCATTTGCTGCGAATCTGAAACTTGTCCACCGACCGACACCTAGAACTTGGTGTAGCTGTTAGGGTGCCCGAATTATAATTTCCTTCAAGGCTGCATGGGGTATCTGGGATTTGTCCTTTTGGTTTTCCATCTGGGATGTAAGTCTTGAAGGAACTATTAACCTTCAGGTATCATTCCAAAGGTAAAAATCAGACAGACATCAATATTTAAAGTAAAGATTCCAATAACACCTTATTGTAATAAAACAACAATTACTTAAATTAAAAAAGCTACAGTAGTCTGAAGAAATAACTTTCCTCACGTGGGGCTCCATTATGGAAGCGTGTCCCATAAAAAGCATGTCGTTAAAGAGGAGTTTCCGTCAGTCAGAATGCATCTGCCTAAGGGACAAAGAACCAACAGTCTACATACTAATAAGCCAGATCTATGCAGGCAAAACTTAAGCTCTGGAACAAGAGTAAAGTTCTGAAGTGGACAAACAGCCAGAACTTTCTGCTGGAGTTTACAGCCAGTGAACTTCATGAGGATTCCATAGGACAGAGTGGAATTAAAGGCTAGATTACAAGTCCTAGATGATGCATAACAGCACAATAGGATGATGATGATGGTAATGACACACAGCTTTCCTATCTGGGTTCCAGGGCCCCATTGTGAGGTAAACAAGAGTAGATCCACCGTCTCCCCAAAAAACATGTCGTAAGAGTTGACTAATTGGGAGTTTCCTTCAAAGTCGGAGTGCATCTGCCTGAAAAGCAAGGAACCAACTGTCTGCATACAAATATCTCAAATCTGTAAAATGGATGTGCACGCATAACTCAGGTTCTGGTACAAGTCTAAGGTCCAGAGGTTGATGAACAACCAGAAATTTTGACAGGAGTTGACAGTCAGGGATTATGAAGAAGAAGACGAAGATACACAACTATAAAAAAGAGCCAAACAGCGACCAGAATGTCATCAGAAAATTAGTGGACCCACACAAAAGTCTCTTAATCACACACGGCCCAAAAATATCAACATCAACATTATCCTTTTGTTCTGTAATTCACAAAAAAGGGCTCATGGTTCAGTCCTCATTCTGCTCTATCCTGCGCAATCCTTCTCAAACCATTGATGGAATCTAGTCCAGTATCTGTGACCTCTCTCCACAAGGTTTTTCTTAAGATGACATGGTTAGACCAATGATGGTTATGCCCTAATCATTTGGGTTATTCAACACCATTCCTAATAATACAAGGTGCTTTTCCCACAGTCTGTGTGACAGTGTCATTATTCACTCATTTTCAGATGGTCAAAGCACCAGAATAACCATCCGAGAACAAGTGAATAACAATACTATCAAACAGACTGTGGGAACAACGCCTTGTACTAGATTCATTGAGAAACAGCAGAACAAGCTGTTTTGCCATCTTGTCAGAATGCAGCAACACCAAGAACCATCAAAAGCACATCTTAGAAGATCAGTATAAGAGCAATAGAATAAGTAAATATGGACTGACAACATTAATGACACTTTACAGCTTCATGGCTTGACAATAGTAGGCCAGCATGCACATGGTCGCAAATTATTCCTCCCCATGATACTTAAACAGTAGAAGAGTTTATGATGATGATGACGGGGATGATGCTTATACTGAAATAGTTGGAAGGAAATTAAAACTCAGACTACCCAATTTACAGTGTCATTAATAAACCAAAAATAATAAACCTTGAAATATAAAACTCAATACAAACAACAAACACAATTTTTAAACTTACAACTTGGTTTCGTAATCTTTCCAAGCTTTATCAAAAGGCTTCTTTAAGTCTCCTTTAGTTCCTTTAAGATCACCTTTCAGAAAGGAATCCAGTGGGAAAAGAACCATGTTGTACAGTCCATCCATCTATGGAAATAAATAACAAGTCACTGCTCTATTTCAATTCTGCAGATTCCCATATGGGTTCCAGAGCCACAGTGTGAGGAAAACAAGAATAGATCCACTGCCTTCCCTAAAAGCCTGACATAAGAGTCGACTAACGGGGGCTTCCGTTGAAGTCAGGGCGCATCTGCTTGAGCAGCAAGGTACCAACAATCTGCATACTAATAAGTCAGATCTGTAAAATTAATGTGCACACAAAATTCAGGTTCTGAGACCAGACTAAAGTCTAGAGGTGGACAAGGAGCTTTCTGCTAAACTCATGGAGTTTACAGATGGAGAATGCAAAGAAGAATTCTGCAGACTGGAAGTGTGAAGAAAAATACAAACAGTCATTAGCTGGTGCATCTGTTGTTAAAGTCACTAATTAACAGCTTTAGCAAAAGACAGACAGACTTGGGATTGCTTCATTTCGGGATAAGAAGCAGAAGAAGAAGAAGCAGAAGAAAAAGAGAAAGAAGTTTAAAGTAGTGTTACTGACTAAAAAAATGTAAAATTGATTTACAAATAATGACATCACCTGTAGCACTTGCAGTAGTTAAGCATCTATACTGGGGTTAGGGACTGGAATTAAGGTAAAATGACTCCAAAAACTTAGTTTTTGAAGGCCCCTAAATATTTTGTGCACTTGAATTTACAGCTTTAAAGCTCACAGGATCAACTTTACTGCACTGTGTTTTATCCCACAAGACTCAAGTCTCTCTGCAGAGCAGCTAGATGCTCACCGAGAGCATTACAAAAAACACAAACTCTGTAGCTCATTAATTATCTAGCTAAACGCTGCAGTATTAAACACACTGTACAGACTATGTGTACCACTGAAGACATGAAAACAAATGCCTGAGAAAAAATTTTGAACATAAAATGAGATGAATTAAAGAGGGGTAAAGACATAACAGAAAAGCTTAAGCAATCACTGGTAACAACAGTTATGAGAATAAGAAGATGGTGACATAGTGGACACATACTGAGAAGAAAGAAGCAGATAATCACAATAAGAGGCACTAAAATGGGAAATAAAGGAACTCAGTATGTGAGGACATAAAAAAGGAATATACTGTGAGCCTGTGTGAAATAGTGGTACAAAAGAATCATTACAAAGTAGGTCCTTGGGATTGCACTTACTTCACCTAGAGTTTCTGCCATTGTTAGAATATCATTTCAGAAAAAACTCGGCAGTCATGTTCTGGAAATGTCTTCTCAAGATTTAAAACTGGTCCTTTTCAACTGCCATTTTTGTTTTTTAAACCATTCTCAGATGAAGACAATTTATATAGCAGAAAATTTAAGCGCAGCGGTAGAAAGATTCACAGTAGTGGAGAGGGAAGTTATCAGCATCTTAACTGAAGCACTAAGCTGGAGGCCACATGACAAAGAAGCAGAATGAATTATTCCTGAAGCACTTGATGAAGAGTTAGGAAACATTATGATGAAAGTATATTTCCTACAAAAATAGGTGCTGGTACTCACTGCAAAGTGTCTTTTACAGTAACTGTGAAAAATTATGCCTTATTAAAAGAAAAGGTGCATTCTGCCAGAAAATAAAAGCCCTACCTACAATTAATAAATATTGATACTCCAAAAAGTAACCAAAAACTAAAAGTCTCAAATCTAAACTCACCATATTCTTCATCATAGATGAAAGATCTTTGGTGACATAAGAGAACTTCAAAAATGCATCACCTAAAATGAAATGTACAAATTCGGTTATCATTCTGTATGTTTGGGAGCTTAACCCTTCAAACACTGGCCGCTCGGCTGATAAACGCCCATTATCTCAGCTCTTGACAATTACAAATACACAAATGGGAAACATAAGTAAAGTAAGCATCTATAATAGTTGATGTTACCAAGTTAGTCGAGACCTTGCAAACGAACCCTTGTATTTGTTGGCTGTTTATGGTTTGACTAGGCAATGTTAACCTTCTGTAGTTTGCCACTGCTTTCCAATGATCAGCTCTTGACCTATTGCAGAAATCAGCACAAAACTTGATAATGCCCACAGCTGGAATCTAACCGGGTATTGTGGAACTACAAACCACATTCAAACACTGGCCGCTCGGCTGATAAACGCCCATTATCTCAGCTCTTGACAATTACAAATACACAAATGGGAAACATAAGTAAAGTAAGCATCTATAATAGTTGATGTTACCAAGTTAGTCGAGACCTTGCAAACGAACCCTTGTATTTGTTGGCTGTTTATGGTTTGACTAGGCAATGTTAACCTTCTGTAGTTTGCCACTGCTTTCCAATGATCAGCTCTTGACCTATTGCAGAAATCAGCACAAAACTTGATAATGCCCACAGCTGGAATCTAACCGGGTATTGTGGAACTACAAACCACATTCACAACCCCTAAGACAGATGACGACATAGTTCTATTTACTTAGTTGTTTCTATGCAATATTTCACAATAAGTAAAGATGATAATCAGAGCATTTTAAACTTAAATGTTACAGAAATTTTAGAATATCACGTACCAAAAAGAAATAAATACTGCAGCTTTACGTTATCTGAACACAGAACGAATAAAACTGGTATTTATAAAACATCATGTCATGAAAACTTAACTCTTTTGGGCCCAGGTTTTAAATATATGATGCAAAGTGAACAATAACCCTAATTTAACCGAATCAGACCGTTAGGTTTGTAGAGGGGTATTGATGGAAGCACTAACACACAAAACCTGCCATCTTTCTCTGTCTTTCTCTTGTTGAACAAGTGTACGATAATTTAGTTCTGTCCATCTCTTGATGTTGTCATTCCAGGTTTTCTTTGCCCTCCTCTTCTTTGGCTAGCTCTACCCAGTGTTCCTTGAAGTACAGTCTTTGCAGCTGAATCATGTTTCACCACCACATGCCCAAACTGAGCTAGCTTGCGATCTTTCACCACTGCCAAGAGAGGCTTCTGATGTCCTGCAAATACATTTATTTTGTCTCTGACATATTTGTTTGTTTTATGTTCTAAATGAATAATTTGTAAAATTTGTCTATAAAACAGACATTTGAAAGCCTGAATCATCTTATCATTTCCACAGTGAGAGTCCAACACTCACATCCATATAAGTAAATAAACAATACCAGTGATTTGTATAAATTGACCTTTACTGCAATGCTGATTTTGCTCTTCTAAGGAAATATACTATATATATAACAGGCACACAAACACACACACAAAACAACAAGAGCTACTTACCAATCTCATACTCATGGTCTCTGGTTTTAGCAATAGTACCTAGCCTCTCTAAGTTCTCAGCAACAATGGCATCATTGGTCACATGAGCTGAAAATATGAGACACAGACAGAGTGCTATGATGTTGATTCCTAATTCAAAATTCAACATCACAGAACTGTGAACATTCCCATAAGTTCTCTGTCCCCATCTTCAGCAGCAAGCGCAGTTACAATTCCAATGGCACCAGTAACTGTCTGATTTATATATCCGTCTCGCCTTCTCCTTAAGTGGTGAGCATTAGTCAAATCCCTTTGCCATTCCTCGCAACACCATTCTCTCCAGACTGATGATCTTTTTGTGCTTCCACGTTGTTCTTTCGCTCCCAAAGGGCTCTTACAACATCTAGCTTGTCATGCATCAATTCATCATCAAGTGGTGCAGAACCAGCTAATCAATCTGTCTGTTTGTTTCCCAACACATTGGCATGACCTGGAGAAAATATTCAAAGGACACTTACAACCAGGCACCTCTGAAGCTTGTTTCCACATGTTTTAATTACTGCTAACATCTCAGTATCTACCAGGGTTTTCACTGCCTATTTTGGAATATTACCTGTTCACAGCACATTCAATCTTCCCTCCATATTATCCTTAAACAATTTTGGTTGCTTTTGACTAATAACCATAGCATCTAATTTATACACATGTAATGGAATGTCTAATAACTTACTATTGCCTGTATTATACAGAGCTTTCACAGACTTTTTCAGCTTGGTGAGACTGCTTCTGTATATGTCCAGAGTCTGAAATGACACAATAAGCATCAGATAAATAACTGCAGACTATTAATTTTGTAGTCCCGGGAAAGTAAAGGCGGCAGGCGTGATGCTGACCACATCACCCATCTTGTGCCGACTGGTCTACAAAAATATAGGTCTAGCCCTATTTGCCCTATACGCCTAAAGGCACGGAAAAGGGTCCTTTACTTTACTTTTAATAATTTTGTGTTTCACCTTTATATCAATCATTCAGATACCATCTCCACAAAAAAGGCTGGCTGTTTTGGATTTCCTTCTCTCTTTGCATCTTGCCCAGCTTATACACTCTGCTAGATTTCTTTTTATCAATAATAAATAAAGCAAACCGAGCATTTGCCATGCTTAACAATATACAGAATTCTAAGTGAATTTGAAGACAAAAGTCAGATTATACAAGAGCAATATTTTAGGAATACTATTAATACAACAGAGAGTGTTGGAGAATGACAGCAGGAGTTACACATAAACTATAGACCTTTCAAAATAAATGTCTAAAAAGGAGAATCCTGCAAAAGTTGTGGTTAAACAAGATCATCAATGAAGAATTGAGGAGAAAAACCAAATTTTTATCACTGGCAAACATTAGGAAAAGAAGAAAATGGAAATGGATTGGATATGTTGGCAAAATGACGTGGGATACTTTGGCAAGGACAACTCTTCGACGGATGGCAGATGGAAAGAGGAAACGAGGATAACCTAAGGAAACCTGGGGAACAATAGTAGAAAGCAAAATAGAGAGATGTCACATGAAAGGCAGAAAAGCAGCAGTAGCAGACCTACAGCAATGAAATTTATTTTGGGTCAGAATGAGTTAAAATACTCGTAATAACATTATGAAAGAACAGGGGCAGTTAGAGCAGTGTGGGCTTGTGAAGCAACATGAGGAGTTGAGAAAAAATTTATGAGGACATCGAAAACAAACAAACCAACCAAACAAACAACTAACATCACAGACACACACAAACACCCACCCACCCACACAACAAACACAAGGTGGTTCTGAAAGTGTTAACTCAGATTACTGATGGAAATTTGTTTCATTTTTTTCCAGTTCCATGAGGTTCTAAATGAAGAAGTAAAAAAATAAAATTAAACAAAAGTCCTACAGATCAGCAACAGTAACTGCATTCCTAATCCACTGCTGCTGCTATTTTTGTTTAAGTTTGCTAAAAATATAAAATTATAAATTATTGCTCTGCGTCACATAGTGTGTAATTTTATTACTTACTGTAATACATACTGTAATAAGCACCTTGCAGGTATATAAATTAATTTATTAACTGTGGTGTAAGGGATCCCATTCTTCCTATAAGTTGAGTATAAGCACTGCAAATAAATTAACTAGAGGTTTAGAACCCCCCCCCCCCCCCCAAATGCTGATGAAAGTGTAGTCGATACTATACAAAGCACATGAAAGAATAAAACAAGCACTAGAACCGTGGAAATTAATACGGACTTAAAACAAGCAACGAAGCCATCGATCCGTCGTTTCATGGTTTGCCCAGGAGAAAAATCGACGGAATCTTCTACTTAAATATTTACGCTGATCAATGTTTGCAATACGAGAATAAACTATCAGAACATCATAACAACATATTAGTGAAGCAAACATAGTTTTATAAACCCAAATGCGATATTCTAATTTAATCAAGATGAACGCAAAAGAGATAACAAGATATAGCATTACTGTCACTCTAGCTGTCAACTATCAACTAGAAGAAGAAAAAAGTCATTTTTTTAAGTCGACCCACCTCCTCCAGAGCAGACACTGACTGTCGACAAATGCCCATCTTGTTTGTGAACGTCGACGTCGTGGGAGAATTGAAGTCGTCCCATGTTTCTTTCAGAAAATCCTGCACCGTTATCATCTCATCTATGTGTCTTGAATGAAAAAAGACATATATTATTATAGATATTTTTCCTCCTGCTGTTCTCTGGCTTGCTGGGGAAACAGTCTGCTAGGGGGAAATCAACGAGATTCGTCTGCTCAATTGTTTGTATTATGAAGGATCATTTAAAGAGAGTCGCGTCCCCTGGTAAAATAACAAAAGAAGCAAATTAATAAATTAACTCATTCAATACCAAGCAACTCACCTTGCGCTCGTCGGTTTCCATTTACATGATGTACACTCGCTAACTCCTTGTATCTCATCCAGTTTTTACAGTAATCCTCATCTTTGCAGTTATTACTTTAACTTCTCTTGTTTCAATGTGACAAGATAGGGGTGGGCTAGTTTCAAAGTCAGTTGTCGATGTCTCTAAATATGGGGTGGGGCCGCAAAGGTCGGTTTACAAGAGCAAACGGTCTGCAAAGAACGGAGCAAGCTCATGGGATTGCATGTAAAGCTACCACGAAGGACGGACGAGCCATGGACCAGGCTGGTATAATTAATGCTCTATGAGAAGTAAAACGTTTGCGAGCACCTGAGTTCCAAAGCATGGCAGTTCCATTCACATCAGCTCTAACCCCCCCCCCCCCCCCCCCTCCCCAACCCACACTTACAACAATCTGCAAAGAGCACTTGAGTTCGGTGTTGGGTGAATCTGTCACTAGCATTCACTAGACCCCATCCACCATTCAAACCCACAAAAAACCGGACCGCACTACGACCGATAACGTCTAGAATCATAGTTAGGCTTCATAGCCCATTTCATTCACGTCACCATTGAAAGATTAACCTGCTCTTATTATCCAAACCCAAAAACTATCTACAATTTATTTTTTGGTGTGGGGGGGGGGGGGCATGAAAGGTTTGATTTGCAATGGGATAATCTGTCCACTAACTAAATAGGCCTAACTAGTCTCAAATTGTTTTAATTTTGGCCCGTCGGACATAACTACATTAGTTATATTGACCACTTCAGAGCGAAAACGAATGGACGTTGTTCAGCGTATCAAAGCCTGATATATGATATTACAACATCTAGTTTCAGAGTAGAGTTGGTGGCAATTATTGCGGCCTTCCACTGGCTTGAGAACCAGCTGCACACAAGCCGTGATTGTGAAAGGTGGAGACAGGTATGTTCCGTGCAGAGTTGTGAGTATCGCACCAGAGGTCCCCGCTAGTTAGCGTCTTTTGTCTCCCGGATCTGCAGGTGTGTTTATAAACGAACAGGCACACTGAGTGGCTGGTTCTGCACCACTTTGTGGTAAACTGTTGCATGATAAGCTAGATGTTTTCAAGGCCCTTTACGGTCGAATGAACAGCACGGAAGAACAAACAGACCTTCTCCGTCTGAAGAGAACTGTGCATCGAGGGGATCCGGCCGACACTCAAGAGTCAGAGGAAAGGCAAGACGGACACACAGTCAAACTTCTGCTGGTACGATCGGAACTAGAACTTTGTGCTGACTGTTTTTAACTCAACTTGAAAAGTCAACACACCATTTAGGATAAAACACCAAGCTAAATTACTTGCATTGGACTGAAAGAGTTAACTCTTTGTAATTTTCACAGCTGTCAAGGGCGATCGCATCTCTCTCTCTCTACACCATTTGCTGATGTCAAATATGTGTTAAAATTCGCACTATTTCACACACATATAACGTCAAACCTTTCCCTATCTGACTAGCTGTGAGTACAACGTATTCGAGTTTGAATGAGGAACAATATTGAAACAATGGATATGACGTAGTATTAGTTGCATGCTTGTGTCCACTGTTGACGAGAGAGAGAGAGAGAGAGAGAGAGAGAGAGAGAGAGAGAGAGAGAGAGAGAGAGAGAGAGACGGAGAGCAGTGCGGAACTTTGCCAATGCCTCCTCAGTGTAACACTTACACGATCTATGCTTTCTGGTTTACAAGAAAAATAAAGTGAGTTGATTTGCCGTACTTTGAAATATTCATCATTTTGGAGGTAGCAGGTGTGAATTGCTGCGAAGCCACGTTATCTGCTCTATATTATCTAACAGAACTCATTTAATTCTATATCTAAATTATCTAATGTGTCGTCTTGCCTCAACTGCTTTTCTTTGCTTCTATGAGTATTTATAAATATCTGTGCATCTTGTTGTCTGAGCTGAGTAATTCATGTTAAAAGTTGACATAACATCACTTGGGACATTTCTGTCAGCGCCCCCCCCCCCCCCCTTTTTTTCCGGTTTCTTCGGCAAACATGGAAGAGTTTACGTTCCAAAGCCACCGGTGTTATTTTGAATGATTGTCCCTATTGCCTTTCTACCTTTCCACAGAGTAGATCAGAGATGGGTAACCTTTTGGGGCAACCGCGGGGAAAATTTGGAATCACCAACCAGGTTGTTGTCCACAGAGAAAAAAAATTGTAAACATTACACAAAAATTTTCTCGTAACACGAAAGTTTGTGGGACTATCTACTATATAATCCCTCGCTATGTGTCTGATCAGACACACTCACACACTCAAACCATTCTAAATATTCCTAAATGGAGAGAGGAAAAGAATGGCACTCGCCTTATATTTCGGGTGCCTTGAGCACGCGACGATGATCTGGGAGAGTACCTAGAGAACTAAGGCAGAGAGAACCCAATTGCACGTGACATAGTTGGACCTCGCCAACGCCTATGCGGCGGTACCCCATAAGCAATTGTTGCAGGCCCTTCGCATATTCCACGCACCGACACAGATCACCGAAATGATCGAGCCATATTTCTCAAAGTTCGTTATATCCTTCTCTACCTAAACGTTTACTACGGGATGGACTGAACTCCAGGTTGGAATAGCAAGGGGATGTACGATGTCGCCAAGACTGTTCGTAATGGCCATGCAGGTCAAGTTAGACGGGCCTGCTGGCTAGGGGCAAGGCTTTCAAATTGGGGACCACTGGATGCCGCCACTGCGTGCATTTATGGATGACACAAATATAACGGGTAGTGAGGATGATGCCCGCACAATTCTGAAGAGGTTGGGCCGCGTTGTCGAATGGTGTGGCATGCAGTTCAAACAAGAAGTCAAGAAGTTTGTCAATCCTTAAGGATAAGGTGGCGGCAATCAGTTTCACGGTGGCATGGGAAAGGATCCCCATGGTTCAGGAGAAACCGGTGAAGAGCTTAGGCCGCGTCTACGATTCGAAGTTATCTAACAGAGGGAGGTCCGACATATGTTGGAGTCACTGGCAACAGGCCTGCTTTTTATCGAGCGATGCAGGCTGATCGGGAAGTTCAAGGTCTGGTGTCTCCAGTTCATGTTGATTACAAAGCTCCTCTGGCCGCTGCTCGTGTACGAGGTGAGCATGACTGCAGTGGAGACAATGGAGAAAAAAAAAATACAGCCTTGAGGAAATGGCTTTGAGTACTGCCATGTCTGATCGATGTGGCTCTCTATTGCAAACATGCTAAGCTGGTACTTCGTTCAAATCAATAACCGAATAGTTTAAAGTCGCCAAGGCAAGACTGGCGATGATGCTGCGCGAGTCTTTAGATCCCACGGTGGCAGCTGTCCATCCAACTCTTAAGACAGGTACGAAATGTAAGGTCCTAGATGCGATAGAATCTGCTCAGGAATCACTGAAATTGAAGGGAGCCATGGTTACACAAACCAACCGACGCGGCCTAGGGCATGGAAAGTCAGTTGGCGGTACAAAGCCTCAGCCAAAGAACGCAGAGATATTGTGATATAGCAGATAAGGGACACTGAAAACGAGACTCGGGCCCAGAAAGCAGCCCAGCATTCGCAGCAAGGCCAGTGGATCGGATTCGAGAGCGCATTGCCACGAATACTCACACGAGGTGAGTTCTGGCAAATGGCCTGGGTGCCGCTGATCTTTGTTATAAGATCTGCTTATGATGTGTTACTCTCTGGCGCAAACATGGCCAAGTGGTCTGCGACCACTGACCCGATATGTCCTCTTTGCAGAGCTAAGCAGACGCTCGATCACGTACTGTCAGCGTGCAGATAAGCCCTAGGCCAGGGACGATATACTTGTCGCTACAACAAGGCCTGCAAGAGTTAGCGGGCAATGTGGACCAAACCAGAATGAGGGCCAACGCGAGGGCCAGTCCTACCGTAGCCCCTATACGCTTCTTTAAGACTGGGCAGATTTATAAAGGTGAAGTCAACAAGGTCGCATACGCTCCATCAATACTTGACAGTGCGAGGGACTGGTTATTGGCGGTCGACCTGCCTGGTTTCGAAAATTACCCAGAGTCAATCCGGAAAACCGACCTGAGACCAGACATAGTTCTGCAGTCTACGGAAAAACGACAGCTCATCCTGATAGAGCTGACCATGCCGTACAAGTCACGGATGGAGGAAAATCCCCTTTACAAGCTCGAAAAGTACGGTGAGCTCGGGGCAGGTTTGAGGAGAGACGAAGCGTACACAGTTAAAAGTCTTCGCCCTTAAGGTAGGCGCAAGAGGTCGTATCTCCACTTCCGCACACAATGTGCTAAAGCAGCTGGGCTAGATAGGAAACGAGCGTAAACGGATACTATGGCTGTTGAAAGAGCTTCGAGCTGGCTTTGGACGCAGCGGAATGTTATGGGGGATGGGCCTCGGTAGAGGCTTCATCCCTATAAAGCTAAAGTGTCCGATAAATGTCTACCACCTCACACCACCACCAATACCCGCCCGACAAACGGCACATCTCGTCGCCCGCCAACGCTACTTTCGTCGCCCGATTCTCGACTAGATACTTAACACCGATTCGCTAGATTTTCGGCTGAGTCAGTCTTGACAAGTTATCTTGGTCGGCGCTGCGTTTGAGTTTTAGCAGCCCGTTTACGCACCATTATTAAAGCCCCCTTGAAGTCCTTCTCAGGATTCTTGACAAGGCTTGCCGCCTCTTCAGGGATCAAGCTGTCGCTAGTTACCTGATCCAGAAAGCGGGGAGAGAACCTGAAACAATAAACCAGTTACCTGCTTCACCATGGGAAGAAGCCGCAAGCAAATCGGA